TTTTTTGGCATTGCACAAGGTCCTGTTTTTCTCCGACTGTTAATGACGTCTATACACTAAATCCATTGGATGTTGGATGTGTACTGTTACCTATTCTGACATCGGACTCGGACTTCTTTTAAACTGAGTTTTACTGTGCGTATTACTATGTGTTTCTTTATTATACATTGGCTAGAGGTATTAGGGGGTGAGATCTCACAAAATATGTTTAACCCCGCCGCATTTTTGCGCCTGTCCCAAGTCAGGAGCCTCTGGCCTTTGTTAGTCTTGTATGTTTTTTAATTTTAGTTCATTTATATGTTTTGGAGTTTAGTGTGACGTCCATTTTCACGGAATTAGTACACAATTTTATTTAGGGGCCAGCTGAGGACCACCTCCGGGTGCGGGATTTTCTCGCTGCGTTGAAGACCCATTGGCATCCTTCGGCTGTTGTCTGTTCTTTGGTCGGGTTGTTGTCTCTATGACATATTCCCCATTTCCATTCTCAATTTTATGATAGATATTTTAGTCTTAATTGTTGTTATTGGTTTTGAACTAGCTTTCAGTAACTGGGAGTACTCTCAGATCTGTACTTTTTATGCTCTGTATTGATCTGATGAGTAAGAAACGTGTCAGACCGACTGTAAACCTATAGATATCGTTTGACTTTTTTCCTTGTGGTGTTGCTGTCTTATTGTATCATTCGTATTTTCAAAATAGGAAATTATTACATGCATTTATTGAAGAAAAGCATGTAAGTAATAAAAAAAAAGACAAGTGGCCAAGTTTGGTTAAATTTGGCCCAGTATATTCAGAGGAGACGATTTTTGTAAAAGTTAACGACGACGGACGACGGACGCCGGACGCCAAGTGACGAGAAAATCTCACTTTACCTTTTAGGCCAGGTGAGCTACAAAGGAAGAAACGGTCTTGAAACGGTCTTTAAATTAAATTGTCAAGGAAAAAACAATGTAGTGTGAAATCAAACTGTTTACAATATATTGAAATGGTATACGAGCAAGATAAGTATAGTCAGAGTATAGGGGTATCAATGGTATTACTTTGATGAAGCTTGTGTTGCAAGTTGGTAGAATATATAAATTAAACTTTGTGTACCTAATTTTCAAGGCAATATATATTATCTTACCTTACCTCTGTATCTTTGACTCCCTTTGTAGTGGAACCATACATTTGTATGTAGAACTTGTGATCTGCATTTATTTATGTACAGTGATGCCTCCATCAGTTATGAATATGTTGTAGTGCTCTATATATACAGTGTATATATTATGTCTGGTTCAAAAAGAATGTAATGGATAATTATAGGTTATCGTTGGTCATCTCAACGAGATTGATATTCTCGCTTGAGCCGGTATGGCGAAAGTGAGAAAAGCAATCGAGTTGAGATGACCAATGATAATCTGTTTATCGCTATTTTACCTATGACGACGTTGTTAATTTCATTGACAACGGCACGTGCGCCATTAGTTTCTAGCGATAATTTTTCATATCACTCTACTGTGCTGAAAAAGGAAATTATCAGTCAACTAGATCAAAGGAAAATTTCGTAAAATAGCGATAATTAATGTAAATGTCGATTTCTAAATCATTTATACATCCACAAGAAATAGTTCTCAAATCATATCTTAATTTCTGATGAGCAAAGCTGCAGAAATCGCATTATAATATCATTCACACTTCAACATACTTTTTGTTCATGCTATATTTGCATTTTTAGCTAATTAAGTTAAAAATCGATTTGCCTATTTTTTTTCAATCTAAATTGTCTGCAATATATTCAGCGGTTTCAACTTCTTGATTTCACAAGCGAATGATAATGTCTGGTTTTTGGGCCATCTGACGGATTGTATAAAGAATTCCTTCTTTCCAATGCCGTTTTGTGTGAAATATATCCTTTCGAACTTATAATAATACATGCGTATCGCTCACATTTTCACTACTTCCTTTCGTTATTTAGGATCGCCAAACGGATTTGATTTCTTTTCGGATAAACTGTTTTTACTTTTAAATAATAATAATAAAAATAATAATATCTTTATTTAGAGAGAGTAACTCATTTGGATTACACCAATTTTCGATAAGGCTCTCTTAATACAATATTATTACATTAAAAATTAAACGATACAAATTCAATAATAATGATAAATAAAGATGCAATACAATTTAAATTCGATAATTATAGATTATCGTTGATCATCTCAACGAGATTGATTTTCTCGCTTGAGCCGGTACGGCGAAAGCGAGAAAAGCAATCGAATTGAGATGACCAATGATAATCTGTTTATCGCTATTTTACCTATGACGACGTTGTCAATTTCATGTCAATTTCATTAGCAACGGCACGTGCCCCCTTAGTTTCTAGCGATTATTTTTATATCACTCGACTCCGCTGAGAAAGGAAATTATCAGTCAGTAAGATCATAGGAAATTTTCGTAAAAAAGCGATAAACAATTATTATCGCTATTTTAGGAAATTTTCCATTGATCTTACTGACTGATAATTTCCTATCTCAGCACAGTAGAGTGGTATGAAAAATTATCGCTAGAAACTAATGGCGCACGTGCCGTTGTCAATGAAATTAACAACGTCGTCATAGGTAAAATAGCGATAAACAGATTATCATTGGTCATCTCAACTCGATTGCTTTTCTCACTTTCGCCGTACCGGCTCAAGCGAGAAAATCAATCTCGTTGAGATGATCAACGATAATCTATAATTATTCGGCATTAAAGTACAAATATCAATCGGTACAATGTAATGTTAAAAGTACATAGATTTGTAGTTATGTTTAAATTCTAACACTGTGTTTGATTTTCAAATTGTATTAGGAAGAGCATTCCAAACTTTTGGTCCACTGTACGAGAAACTAGACTTATACAACTCTGTATTTGGTTTTGGTAGTATAAAATTATCAGAAGACGAAAATCTCGTTTTGTATTTTTGGTTTGCAGAAGCTTATAAAATAAGACTTGACAATTAGTCTGGACCTAAAACATTTTTTGCCTTATACATTAGTAATGATTTATGATAATGTAGTCTTTTTGTAAATCGGCACAATGTTACATTCGTGAAATAATTCGCTTGAAGATAAATAAAGCAATAAATAGCTGTATAGTTTGTATAGGTTACTAACATGTCGATCATGTAAATTTTTATCACAACCGGCATCACTCCCATTTAAATCTCGATACTTGTGATGATTTAATAGAAGTTAGACCATTTTAAAGATGTGTTGATATCCCTATTTTAATAGGTCTAAGTAATGAACATGTTTCATTGAAATCATTGAAAACACGCACATATCGAAACGACTGAGAAATGTACACTATTAGACCATGCAAGTATTATAATATCAATATAACACGGAGCTAACGGATAATACGGAAATCGAGTTATAATAGGAAAGGAAGAGTCGTCCCGTTTATTATAAGCTTGGATATGAAAGTTATTATGAGAAATTCAAGTATCAAGGTCTAAAAGGGACATTCTATTATTAATGTTAGAAAATTGATGTTTTAATAAGAGGAACTTAGGTAATGTTTTAGTGTGGAGACAATTCTAGCGAAGTCAAAATCTGCCTGGTATGGAAGCGTTGTTTCTTCAATAACAATCAAAAGTATCGTGAAAAACACATAGAACTTAAAGTTAGAAAGTCAGTCAGATGTAGAAATTTATTGAGAGGATATAACCAAAAGATTGCCACATTTACAAGGAATAACCACAAGATTGAAAGGCAAAATCCCCCTTTTTTATTTTGTTGTTTTTGTTGAAAATTAATAGTAAATTTTCTTTCTATACTAACTTAGTTCCCTTATTTGATGTGAACTTACTCTTATCTATGCAATCTTATATACGTGCTGCACCTCTATTCTTATATATATATAGAGAGAGATATAGGAATAGAGGGACGTATAAACTATTCAATTTGTAATTGTAATATTGTATGGATAAGAACAAGAACATATCTAATTAAGGAAAATTAGTTGAATTATTCTATTAAGTTCAATAAAGAAAAATCTGTAACCAACATAAAAAAGAAAAAAGAAAAAAAAAGGAAAAAAAGGGTCCATGTCACAAACGCCTATGGTCAAATCATGCGGAATACGCTTTAAAAGCTTGGCAATTATTTTCTTCTTTGAAAAGCTTTACTAAACACTGTAATACAAATATTTTATTATCATATAATTCTTTAATATTGTACTGTCAAAACTGTGTTGTGACCTAGGTCTGCAGCAATATAAATGCTGAAAGAAAGACAACTCTGTTGTTCCATTCTAATTTGTCTCAGTTTTTTTTGGCACAGAACTTGTAAAATGTAGAGAGGATACAAGACTGTTACATGTACTAGTCTCAATGTTTTTAGCATAAAAAAAATATGAAAATAATTTCAGCGCCTGCCTATTGACTAGAAATAAAATTATAGTGGATTTCAGTTAGTTTTCATATGGTATTTTGATAAGTATTTTGAAACTACTTACCATATTAACTCGAGCTGTCCTTCTGTCGTGCTGAACAGGATATTTTCTTTTTTTATAATCATCATATTTTTTTCTTTCTTTCGAAAGATTTGTCATATTAATCGTATTAATTTTATATCTATAATGTACGTGCTACGTCACAGTGCCACGAAATTGTAATTTAAGCATTCTGCTACCTTCATATTATATGTCTTCCTGAACATGACTGAATTAGAGGGGGAAAAGTCTAGGTGATTGAAAAGATACACAAGGATATTCGTGTCAAAATTGGATGGGGGTATATTATAGGATATATAGATTTCAAGATAAATTTCAATATGTATTGACAATAATATGATAGACTTGTTGTTAATAAATTGTAATATAAAGATTAACGAAATTAAAACATGTAGGTCCCCTATACTGAAATTTCATATAATACAAACAAATTTGTTTCCGTCTTTCAATGTCATGGAAATCCGTTTATAACAATTCACCTTAATGTGACATGTGACGACAGATGTTATTTAAGCCAGGTAAGTACGTGTAATGTACATTCGTGTATATCTTAACACAATGGATGGTTTATTCGTAGTGTTAATATGGATGATTTGTCTAATTCCAGCTAGTAAGTTGTGTAAACTTATTTTATTGACTGGGGGTCTGGTTTATCCGATTGGTTAAAGTGTATTTTTCTGTAATCTTTTATTTTGTTATATTGTGTTTTGTGTTTACCTGAAAATAATTGGTTGAATAAGGAAATAAAATTGTTTTTAACTAAAGATTTTTTTTTAAATTTCAATAAATGTGATGATGTTGTTGTTAATTGTAATTTGTACGTTACTTTGCCTTTGACCCTCTTATGGGTGTAATTTGTGCCTAATGAAGTTTATAATAATCGGATCAAAGTCTTGTTTTCTTTTGTATGACTTAAGACCTTGGAGCTTATTCAAAAACATCCGTTAACGCACCCATTAAGATCTCCGTTAAGTTTCCATTAATCAAATTTAATTCGTATTCACAAATTCTTAGTTTTTTAAGGGCATGCGATACAGTTTCGATCTCATTTTATCGATTTGTGAGGAAATTTTAATACAAGCTATTTTTCATCTAAACTATTCAAATATGTAATAAAAGAAATACCTTCATATGCCATTTTTAGAGATAAATTTGGTCGAAATTTGAAACATATTCTAAAATTATTTTTTTTTTGTTGGTTTTTTTTTTTTTTGGGGGGGGGGGGGGGGAGGATTTCTATCCTTCGGGCAGACATACCTACAACTTTGTTGATTCAAAAGCTAAACACAAGTAGAATTTTTATAAATAAAACATTGGGAATATCTTTTTTTACATAGGTATGCTCTAATTTTCTGTAACCTTTGTTTGGAAATAATTCATTTTTATGAGATTTTCACGGTTTTAGAAAAAAAATCCATTTAATGCTGCATATCTATCTAATTAAAAAATCATTGCTAATTTGTTCATACAAATTGTGACAAATAATCTTCCTACATAATTAGACCACCTTGGTAGCGTGCTCACCTCGAGTAAGAGAAGTCGTTACCGAATATATATGATTCAGATGTGGATACTAAAAAATTCTAAAGATTCGTAAGAGTACAAACAATCTTAGTCTCTATCCTCTTGCAATCTTATTAAACTTTGTTTACCCTTTACACAAGTATTCCTCATTCCAAACTAAAAGACGAATTGAAATAATTGGTTCTGCTTTGTTTCAGTCTTTTCCTCCTGCTACTTCTCTGGCACTGGAACAATTTATACATAGCTATACCAAGGATATACGAAATTTAAGTTATATCCACCATAAATTGAATTGGATCGGGCAACAGGCCAAGCTGATGTAAACCCTCTTTGTTAGTTAATGCATACTTTTTTTAATAAGTTCCCAGTTTATGTCACAATATTTCTGCAGATAGTTTCCTTTTATTTCATATCCCTGTGTTTTAACATTTGTAAATGTTAGTTTACACATTTTTTTAACTTTGTATTTTAGCTATTTTTGCCCCGATTGAAGTCACATGTCCTGATGGAAGACGACCGTTGGAGTGTCATGCTCGATACAAAAACCACTGTAACAGCATGTTTTGTCAGATCAAAGAAGCGGTGTGCGAGTAAGTTACAATATCGCTTTTCTTTACATGCTTCATCTTGAAAAAAAATAATTGGAAACCGCTTACCTTCCTATGAAATTATGATTTGCTATTTAAAGCTGTTTTTCAATGGAGCGTTATTGGTGTTTTTCGATTTTCGATAAGAAGGTATTTCTTGATAGATGGTTGCTGCTTACATGGAAGCTATTGCGTCAAGGGTTCAGGGTGGTAAAGTTGAAGTCATCCATTCGAATGTTTTACGGACGCATTTATGGTTTGGTTGACCATTGTTGAATATCTGTGTCACATGACAAAAAAATACATACAAAGCTGTAGATCCTCGAGTTAAGTGGGATGTTTTTAAAGCTGAAGTAAGGGACATAACCATAAAATACTGTCCTAATTTTGCCGATTGTAACATTACCGAAAGCGACTTGTTATCATATAATACTTGCTTGAGCACACGACGGATGCCAGGTGTGGAGCAGGAACTGTTTGTCCTTCCAGAATATATGAGTTCACATCTATTTTTAATTGGCGGGGTTCGTGTTGCTCAGTTTAGAGTTTTCTATGTGATGTTTTGTTATTGTTGTTTGTCTTTTTAGCTATGAATTGTTTGTTTTATTGGACAAACTGAATGCCACCTTGGTATCTGCTCTCTCTTTTTTATCAATTATTCATAAATAATATAAGGTGTCTTCATAAATAATATAAAGTGTCTTCATAAGTAATATAAGGTGTCTTCATAAATAATATAAAGTGTCTTCATAAGTAATATAAGGTGTCTTCATAAATAATATAAGGTGTCTTCATAAATAATATAAGGTGTCTTCATAAATAATATAAAGTGTCTTCATAAATAATATAAGGTGTCTTCATAAATAATATAAGGTGTCTTCATAAGTTTATAAGCTACCTTCTGAAGTTTATAATATATCTTCATAAGTTTATAAGCTACCTTCTGAAGTTTATAATATATCTTCATAAGTTTATAAGCTACCTTCTGAAGTTTATAATATATCTTCATAAGTTTATAAAATATCTTCTTAAGTTTATAAGATATCTTCTTAAGTTTATAAGATATCTCCTATAATTTATAAGATATCTTATATATTTAGATATTAAAAGTAATCTTATTGAGAACATTATAAATAGATGTATCATCTTTAGGAGGGTATATGCAAAAAAATATCAACCAAAAGGAAGCAACATTTCCTGACAGGCTATCCGAAGGTAATTTGTTCTCAAAACTGTAATTTTTCGTAAATACCCCTGATGAACATGATATGTTTATTTTCACCGAATATAGATAGAAAAGACTAAATAAAACGTTGAAATTTAATTCGGTTATTATTTCCCTATCAAAACGTTGCAAACTCGATTACGTTTAATAAAGCACACAAATGCGTTTTGGCCAATTCCACGACAGATATCTGTATGAATATATATATAGCCATATTTCAATAACATTTCATATAGGTGTTTCATTAAGATTCCACCACTGATAGAGAACAGTCACGTTGTGATTTGCAGTGGTGTGTTGTGTCCCAATAAAACGCAACATCCGGGACAACAGTATACAACAATGCTTGGGAATATTAAAAAACAACAAGAACAAAAAAGTGATTAAAATCGTAGTTTCCTAGTTTAAGCTGTAGAATTCAATTAGAGCTATTATATAATGCTTGTAGTTTAAAGGGCTGGTTGGCTTGCTTGCTTTTTTGTATAAATGTTTGTTCAAACATTGTAATTTGTAATTAAGATTGAAATCTGCAATCAATAGATAGGCGGGGCTTCAGCTTGTATACATTATACGCTGCATTATACTTAACATCCAATAACATTTTAGTATAATGTATACAAGCTGGAGTCTCTCCTATCCATTGATTGCAGATGTCAATCTTAATAACAATGCTTGAGCAAACATTTATACTAACAAAGCAATCAAGCCAACCAAACATTTACACTACAAGCATTAGGAAAATAGCTCTAAAACATTTGATTGATTTCTTTTAGTATCTACTATTAAAATCTATAGACTGATGGACAAATTGGCATTTTACACCCATTAGTATACCAAGTATACCAGGCCGAGAACATTTTAATACGATATGAATATAATACTGCTGCACCATTTAAACAATTTAGACAAGTCAAAAATCTATGTATTTTTGGAAGTTGAGTCCTTACATTTAGTTATGCCTTCTTCTTTTGTCTGGAGTAAAGGTAATTAAACTTTCTGATAAAAGTCTTGTATCTTAAATCGGCAAGGATTCTGTAGGACCTATGTTTTAAGTTATGTTATAAACTTTAGTGCGTCCGAAGCGCTTTCCTGAATAAATCTTCATCAGTATCAAAGAAACTCAAAAATTTGATATCCAAGGATGTATGAGTAATTTAAAACGCTTCCCCAATGAATTAAGATATAGCCAAATCCATCTGATGTCATCTTTGCCTGAGAGGTATACAGTTGTTAATAAACTTGTAAATAATTTACCAGTATTGTTAAATGAAGAAACCCACGAGGTATATCCTTGATTTATTGATTGTTGCTTGTTTAACACCCAGAGGCAAATTTATTTCATATATATTAAGGACATTCAAGAACAAATTAACAAGTACACAAAAGGTCGATTAGGAATAGGGGCGAGAAATTTGAACTGCCACAGGAAAATCAGTGTATGTTGGATAAGGCCAGAAATGTTTCCCTGGCAACAAGCCATCTATGGACTCCTCACATATTTGTTGCAAGGATACTTTAATGCGAAGAGAGAATTACCAGGTTTTATTCTACGTCAAGGCAAAGTTTTACAAACATGTTATTTGCAACATTTGCTATTTGATATCAAAATAGTTCGTGACAGCAGCGTTAAAGGCTGTATTTGTTTTCTTTGTTCTATTTACTTGATATTCAGTTTTTTTTTTTTTTTATTCAGTTTCACTTTATTTTATCGACTTTACGATATTGACTCTGTGAGTCTGTGAATTAAACAGTATATAGAAAATAAGTCACTTCTCTCATGGTGTGTGTTTTTTTTTTTTTAATTTGCAGGATTGATCTTTGTTACACGGATTGCTGGCCACGATTTTACCTGAATGGTACAAGACTGAAGCATTCTGACTGCGGAGGATTCTCATAAAATCATGTTTAATTCTAAGTATAAAACAAACACACGATGAGCACGTAAAATGAATACAAGTGGACTGCAGCTTTCAATTCTAAGTCTTTTACGTAAAAACAAATAATATATATTTATAAAGTATTTCTAGTGTCGATAATGCAAGCGGTTATGTTGTAACTTTAGAATTTGGCAATATTGTTTTCTTTGAGATAAAATTGTGTTGATGATTAAACAAAATAGACTTTGACTGCTTTGTTTTTCTCTAATCATTCGGTAATTTGCTCTGTTGAATTTCGTCACAGATCTCAAATGTTTACGTGTCGTTGATTGTCATTTAAACTAACCGTCTTCATATTTACATTGTTGTAAAACTTGATAAGAGTTCGTGACAAAAAGGTGCACAATAAATTAAAATGTACGTAATGTTTTGCAAACACAAAAAACGGGTAAAAGTTCAAAAGTTCAAAAGTTCTTGGACCAGACTTGTCTTACTAATATACATTAGGATTTACAATTAAAGTCATATTGGTACATACTGGTACATATTGGTACATATTGGTACATATTGGTACACATTGGTACATATTGGTACACATTGGTACATATTGGTACATATTGGTACATACTGGTACATATTGGTACATATTGGTACATATTGGTACACATTGGTACACATTGGTACATATTGGTACATATTGGTACATACTGATACATATTGGTACATACTGGTACATACTGGTACATATTGGTACATATTGGTACATACTGGTACATACTGGTACATATTGGTACATATTGGTACATACTGGTACATACTGGTACATATTGGTACACATTGGTACACATTGGTACATATTGGTACATATTGGTACATATTGGTACACATTGGTACATATTGGTACATATTGGTACATATTGGTACATATTGGTACATACCATATTGGTACATATTGGTACATATTGGTACATATTGGTACATATTGGTACATACTGGTACATATTGGTACATACTGGTACATACTGGTACATATTGGTACACATTGGTACACATTGGTACATATTGGTACATATTGGTACATATTGCAACATTTGCTATTTGCTATCAGAATAATTTGTGACAGCAACGTTTAGGGTTGTATTTGTTTTCTTTTTTCTCTTTACTTGATATACAGTGTTTTTCTATTCTCAGCGAGTATACTCTCAGATCGGTCTCTTTGTCTTTTTTGTTGTGGGAATGTATATATGCATTCGTGAAAGTTGAGACACATCAAATCTTGCCAACATACGGGTTGATTACCATGTGTCTATGCAATCACGGAAGCTAAAACGACCTGTTTAAACAGAAATTTCGGATCAATTCTTGACAAAACTGTTAGCTTATAGCTGTTTGCCGTGGTCCATTTCTGTACAAGAAATGTAGAAATTACTTCAAATTATATTCCGGAAACTGTTTCATATATGTACTTTAAACTCTACTGAAAATTGAATTCATGATTTTTCCTTCTTCCGCGTTTTAAAAATGTCATTATGCGTTTGATGGTTCAGCTGATATATGATAAGTGTTATCCTGTTTTTGCAAGTGACTTTGTTCTTTCGTGTTATACAGAAAATAACCTTGAAGTTAAGTCCATTTTTAATATCTAATTCTTACTACTAGGTATACACATAGAAAAGACAGGATTAGAAAATCGGGGGGGAGTGGGGTCGGGAATTTATATATCAAAACAAGAAAACACGTTATATACGGGATAATTTAAAATGCAATATTATATAAAGTCAATGTGGATAGCATTAACATTCATAAATAAACAATTTAATTGGTTTATGTATACTGTATATGAACAACCAAACAGACATACTGAACAAGAGTGCACACGCTGAAATGTCTCGCCTACTATACTGATAATTTTTTTTTATGTTGATAGTCCTACATATTAAGTTTTACTACAAATATCACACTAACATTTATGATCCAAGAAAATGATGTCAAGGTCAGATAAACCAAGCCGGAAATACATGTACACCTTTAATACAATCCTTCGATACACAGAATATAGATGACCTATTGCTTATAGTATAAAAGAAACAGACCAAACCATGGAAAGGTCATTTGAACCCTGCTAGACAGACATGTACACCTTAAAATCATTCCATGCATCAAATATAGTTGACCTATTGCTGAAGGTATCTAAGAAAAAAAGTTAACCAGGAAAACTGAACATTGACCAATCAACCATGAAAATGAGGTGAAGGTCAGATGATACCTGCCAGAAAGACATATACACCTTACAATCATTCCATACACCAAATATAGTTGACCTATTGCTTAAAGTTTAAGAACAACAGACCAAAACACAAAAACTTAACATAAGCAATGAACCATGAAATTGAGGTCAAGGTCAAATAAAACCTGCCAGACTGACATGTACATCATTAATTACATATTTCCATACACCAAATATAGTTGACCTACTGCATACAGTATAAGAAAAACAGACCAAAACACAAAAAACTTAACATTGAGCAATGAACCGTGAAATGAGGTCAAGGTCAAATAAAGCCTGCCAGACTGACATGTACATCGTAAAATATGTCCATACACCAAATACAGTTGACCTATTGCATAAAGTATTAGAAAAACAGAACAAAACACAAAAACTAAACTATGACCACTGAACCATGAAAATGAGGAAAAGGTCAGATGACACCTGCCAGTTGGACATGTACACCTTACAATCATTACATACACCAAATATAGTAAACATATTGCTTATAGTATCTCAGATATGGACTTGACCACGAAAACTTAACCTTGTTCACTGATCCATGAAATGAGGTTGAGGTCAAGTGAAAACTGTCTGACAGGCATGAAGACCTTGCAAGGTACGCACATACCAAATATAGTTATCCTATTACTCATAATAAGAGAGAAATTAACATTACAAAAATTCTGAACTTTTTTTTCAAGTAGTCACTGAACCATGAAAATGAGGTCAAGGACAATGGACATATGACAGACGGAAACTTCATATCATAAGGCATCTATATTTAGCACATACTTACAACTTCTCGTCCAATCAAATTGCTTATATTTGCCTTCTTATTTTCATAGTATATACTTTTCCTGTGTACTAAGTAGCTACGCATGAATGACCACAAGGGTAAGATTTCATTGTATCGTAATCAAGATATTTAAAACAAAAACTGCCACTGGCTATTTTGAAATAAAATGCTGTGTTCCAAATTAAATTAAATAGTTTGTAATTAGTTTTCACGTTGATTTTTAAATATCCTATTAAAATCTTTGGATCTAAAAAATGTTTTTGACAATTACAAATTTTATCATTTAAATAAAGGGTAATACATATGGTTCTTTATACCTTGATTAGAGTACAACGATATCTTAAAATTATGATATGTATCATCCATGCAATTACTTTGTACACAGAAAAATGTGTACTATGAAACCTTGTGAAGGAAAATTAAAGCAACTTGGTGATAATTTTTTAAACTTTCTTAAGGAAGGTGATCTATTTCGTCATGAATTGATTGATTTGTTGATTATTGGTTGCTTAATGTCCAGTGGCAAATATTTCATGCATGTTTAGGACGATGTCATGAATTGAAAAGCTGTGATTATGTCTGAAGATAATGTGCCACCTATATATATATATAAACATATTCTGATAAATCTTTTAGTTTTTACTTTGAAATAATAAAAAAAAAACACAAAACACAAAACCTATAATCTCTGATCTATTGGTAGTTGTTTTTTAATGCCTATCTGCTAGGCTATATCTATGGGGACAAACTATCTATATGTTTCAAATTCATTATAGCTTTAGTTTTACTGTGAAATTAAAAAATGTTTTCAAAACATGTAAAGCTTCCACTGCAATTTAATTATTGCCTGCTTTTGGTCAATTTATTTTGTCATCTCACCATGTGAGAAGAACATGTATAGTAAAACACCGCTTTATATCAGTATACATACTTACACCAGCAGAAATTAAGAGCTCGGGGCAAGCCCCTCGCTCTAAATTTCATAGTATATACCTTTCCATAGACTAACCTAGACAAAAAGTATGAAGCATCCAGGTCTTCTACCTTCTGAAATATTAAGCTTTTAAGAAGTGAGTTAACGCCGCCGGATCACTATCCCTAACTATCCCTATGTCGAGCTTTCTGCGACAAAAGTCGCAGGCTCGACAATAAAACCATGTTTTAAAAGTTGACACTGCTATTTCTGGAAAACCTGAGTAAAATTGTCCAGGAGAAGGGATCACTCGACTGACGAAAGCTATTCTCATATAACCTAGTTAGATTAGTCGATGGTTTTAAGTGGTTTGGCAAAGTGCAGGTGCAGTCGCCACGATGTCACAGAAGCATGGCCGGGTCCAAATCCCGCTGGGAGTACACACATTTTCTAACGTGAATTTGCAGAACGAATATTGTTTGGCTAAATTTGAGACGAATTATATATATATAAATATATATCTACAATATATAATATTTTTAAACATCGTGTATTGATTTGGTTTTTTTGTAGTTCATATTGCCTCTCGTGATACAAAACATAAATAGCAAAAAAATAAAATAGCAAAAAACCGAACTCCAAGGAAAATTCAAAACGGTTAGTCTTTTATCAAATGGCACCGTTAAAAGCTCAAATATTAAACGAATGGAAAACAACTGTCATATTCCTGACTTTGTACAGGCATTTCCTTGGTGGATTAAACCTGGTTTTAAAACTAGCTAAACCTCTCACTTGCATGACAGTCATATATAATTCCATTATATTGACAACAATGATTGTGTGGGCAAAACAAACAGACATAATAGGTAAACATGTCAAAAATTGGGATACAGCAGTCAACATTGTGTTATATATATCTATAGCAATGGCGAATTATTTGATTTGATTGTTAAAAACTGTGTATGTTTATATTTTTTAATGTCATAGCCTTGAAAACTCGCTTATTGCTAATTTTCCTATTGATACATAACACTTCGTACAAATACTGTCCTTTTTATGATAAACACTGCAATGGGCTTCAGTTTCTGCTACTTTCTTTTGAATTTTCTGATGAGACTTTTCAAATAGTCGTAATCTACCCATAAATATTTTTGTAGTTGTTGTTGGTGAAAGGTCATAAAATTCTGAATTGTTTTCCAACAATTCTGAGGGCGTCCTGGTTGCCTGTTCTATCGCTTTATCTATTATTGTTTCAAGTTTATAGTGATCTGCTAATTTCATGAACCAGACAAGCTGTTCCACTGGTAATGATTTTGGTCCATTTTCTATCTGTCTCAGCATAAACTGTGAACAACGATTTTTTAACGTTTGTACTTTATATTCTTCTGAAAGTTTGAGCAACACAGAGAGGTTTTCATCTGAAAAAGGAAAAAAATCTATTCTATGACATAAGCTTATGGCACAATCAAAACATCGACTTCGGGGAACATAAGCATAGTGTATCTGTGATGTAGTAACCAGTAAAGTAAGTTGCGATAACACTAAAATACCACAATAAAAACACTATGTCGAAGGAAATTGATAAATCCTATACAAAGCGGCATGGTGAGACAAACAGAGAATAAGAAGAGATGATTGGTAAACGTCAATGAGACAGCAACCCACAACATACAAAGATAACAATGATTCTTCAACAACATCTTTTATCATAATTCGTGCATCGACGAATCTGCTTCCTTAACTGAGGACATCAACTAGTGTTTAATAATTAACACAGTACTGATCTTCATCGACATAAATGGGTGTTTAATGTTTAATCGCATATCACAATTATATGCAGTACAATTACATGCTAATGTCATACGAAAATGAACCCTGCATGGTATACTAGGTCGTTAATTCGGCTGATATAGCATGAATCATTCAATTTCAGACGTAGCGTTTGAAATTGCTTGATTTTTTACGAGAAATTTCTTACCTGAAATAGGTTTTAAGCTGTCAGGATAAACACTGTATAAGAATTCCAACATTTCATCATATTTTCGACCAGAAAGTGGAATTTCAAAGAGTGATAATTCCCTGGCACGTCTTTCAAACATTTCCTTGAAAACTGGTGAAATTATGGACAAAACTAATCTGGAAACGTATAAAGGTTTTCCTTCAACAATCAAACGCATATCTGAAGTGTCCGTGGCTCGTGAAAACGCATTACAGACAGTCTCGTGTGACAACGACGACGATATAGACGACACAGACAACTTTCGATGGCTATCAAAATTGTCATTTTCATCTTTTTCGATAACACTTATTTCGCTTGTTTTTACAACAACATCTACGTTAATGTCCTTTTCATCGTCCTCCATATTTCTTTCTTTTTCTGACTCAATCCGACACCAATCTAACAAATACTGATAGGTAGAGACAAGACGAACTGAGCGGGACCCGATCACAAAACACTCATTACACGGGTAGATGAGTGACAATGAGAGGCTATGATAAAACATGAACGCTTTGTTTAAATGTTTCAATTGATAAATCTTTATCTTAGTTAATGAACAATAAATCAAAATTTGATATCATTTCAAGTGACCTGACATTTTAAATAATTGTTAAAGAGCTTCGACAATGCTCTTATACATACATTTAAAAAGAAATGAATGATAGACTTATATATTGCTGTTCGGTGTGAGCCAAGGCTCCGTGTTGAAGGCCAAACTTTGACCTATAATTGTTAACTTTTTATACATTGTGACTTGGATGAAGAGTTGCCTCATTGGCACTCATACCACATCTTTTTATTCATATTTGGATCATGAATATGTATATAAACATTTAAGACAAATCATCTTCGTATAGCGTTTTGGTAATTAATGGTACCGCCATCAAATCCTAGTCAAGTGCATTACAAATTTATGTTAAATCGTTTAGTATACTGTATACGCAGATGATATGCACTGTTGTCTGAAAGTGCAAAAGGATTACAGAAAAAATCCCCCGTACGTTTTACTGTAAAAAAAGCAAACCGAAAATTAACAAAAATGAAACTAAAGCAGTGACTTTTAGTAAGAAGAAAGTAAAATGTAATCAGAATTTTCTGTTGTGTGTGGAGAAAGCATTGAAATAGCCGATTCTTACTCCTTCCTTGGTATACTTTTCAATTACAACGGTAGCTTTTGTACTGCACGAGAAAACATTAACTTCTTGATCGGGTACAGAAATCTTTATATGCTCTATACCGACAAAATTACATGTATTCCCGTCGATTTGCAGCTAAAACTTTAAGACTCATTAGTAAGTCCTGTATTACTCAGTGTATGCTTCAGATGTATGGGATTTTATTTAAGAATGTTAAATCTACTGACTGTTTTTAACATGTCGATAACAAATGCTCTTGGTTATGAACCTCTAATGATTGAACATAATAGACAATATCAGCAATTTCAAACTCTTCTCAACAAAGACAAAAACATTTTGCAAGCCGTGCAAACATCATCACCGTTTGGTTTCTATCCTGGAACCCCACAAAATACTTTCGAACAACTAATAATGCACTGGACTATGAATCCATTTGTTTTAGATATTGGAGAAAAACTTGACCATTTAACCCCAAAAATAGACATATGTTGTTTAAGTTGCTTCAATACACGTCATTTGGGCTCTGGTGGATCTACATACTAGCTCGATGATAGAGAATGTGATTTTACTGGTATCCCAGGACAACCATGAGAATCGGAGGTCATTGAGAAATATTCAAAATTTAGAAATTTCGAGTAAAAATTACAACTTTACCGGAGCTTCACAATGATAATCGTTTTGGACAAGAGTTTTTCGAAAGAATTCCTGACGGTTCAGTTAAATTCAATACTAAGCCAATATTATGAAGATACGTGAATTTCAAGCAGCAAACTCGCAAGGAACGTCGCCAGTGAGTTAAACATGTTAAAAGGTACAAAACACGGCAAAAAAAGTTTCTAAAGGAGATAAACGACCGTAGGAAGACTCTGTGGTCGCATTTCCAAGAGGCACGTCCACAAGGTCCGAATTTGACAGTATTTAATTAATCTATTTTCAATCTATAATAGTTGTAAATACTTGATATTACCCGGCATGTCTGCTCTCAGATACACCTTTACAGAGTTATCGAAATTAAGCACACAAATAAGAATAACCAACAATGAACTGAAATGACGCCTTCATTGCAGCAGTTTTCATAGTTATCTGTTTTAAATAATATACTAGCCATGGTTAAATATTTTATATCAAGTTTTCACAGCAATAGCAGGTATACCAGAACTTACAAGTTGCATTTTTAATAGATTCTTAACACTTATTAAGTCGGACCAATTTTTTTTTTAAATCTATACAAAAAAAAAATGCGCTAGAGTTACCTCTCTTCATATATTAAATAATAATTGTATTTGCAAATTACCCTCAATACAAAATATGACGCAGTACAAACACAACAGTCAAACATAAATAGGAATAAACAAAATACAAAAACATAGCCATGATGTTTTAATTTTTGAAGGCATGAACCTCATTTTCGAAACTCTGAAGATTGCGTTATAAAGTCACCAACTTCTAACTAAAGTTTATATTTAGGATTTAACAGTAGTTTTAGCTTGAGTAGTGGTTGGTAATTTGTTTTATCAGGTTTTATCATTTGTATTAACCGATCTCTTCAAGTTGAGATTAGTTTACAATCTAGAAAAAAAGTCTCAGGTTTATTACAACATTTATATAACTTTTGGTCTCTATGTATATATCTTCCAATTTCAACTTCTAGCACGAAATTTAAAAATTAACTGTCTGTTTTTAAAATTGATTCTTTTGATAAGGAGTCCTCTATTTTTATCTCAAACTTTATTTTGACCTGTCTGCAATAGGAGAAAGGTTATTCAAGAACTGTTTAGTATAGATGTCATGCAATATCTGTTTAAACTTCATGTTCAAGAGGAATATTCAATTTTGCTATATGGTTTATCATAACTTTCAAAATCTGCAGCATCTAATTTTGTCTCTTTGAATATATCAAGAGCAAAACTATACACTCTATGAAAACCATCACCTTACAGGGATTTATTTAATTCATAGCCTCCTTTAAAAGAGAGTCAATGTCATGGGTATGAAATCTACAACTAAATAACATAAATTGTTGTTCAATAAATGAACCAACAGAACATCTGCCCAGTTCTATTTTGGCTGAACTATTACATAACAGCCTTATTGTTTTAATCGTTTCATAGATTCCAAGTGGAAATAGTTTTCCATAAATTTACAGGGATAGATTCAAAGTTTGACAACTTTCTTTTTAATACTTCTTTGGGTTGAGTCGGGTTTTGGTGGTTGGTATGGTCTGGTGTAACCATTAGAGAACTCGAATGACAAGGGATACTTGATGAAAACAACAAGTGGATAAATAGGGTAATATGGTAATATGGAGAGAAAAGCAGTAATACAGTTATATTTGATTGTCATAAAACGTCAATAGTTATCAAAGGTATCAGGATATAATTTAATACGACAGACGCGCGTTTCGTCTACATATTTCGTCAATATATTGGGACTCCTGACAGATTTTTTCCTTTGCATGATTTTCCCTTAGGCTAGCTAAACGGAAATCATTGAATTATTTTTTATGCTAGATAAAGCAAAATTAGTAATACCTTAATTGAATCAAACTGCTATTATATATAGTCACGTGTTCATGCGGAAAATAAAAAAAAAACATGTACTCATTTATATATTTTATTTATTATTTTAAACCATGCATAAAACAAATACCAGATACATATCCATTTAAAACCAATAAATGACGTAGAGCGTCACAAAATAAATTAATGGCAAAAACAAAACCCAGTCTATGTTATATTTCTAGATTCTGCGGCCAATTCTGAACCTGGTTGTACTAGTTTTTAAGACGTCTCTCGATTTCAGTTTTGTTGGTATTTCTCTCGTTAAGTCGAATTATCTTCAATTTGATGGAAACAAAAGCTTGAAACAATATAAATATATATAACCAAGATTACAATTATTATAATGAAACTACACATAGCTGTTCGCTTGCTGAACCAGCACGAGGGCGCATTTCAAAACACTATTATATATAAGACATGGTACATGAACATAAATTATGTTGAGGGTCTAAAAACTTGTATAACTTCATGTTAACATTTCAGTGTTATTTTCAACGGTATGAATGTATAATATTGATATTTTTTTCTGTGATGTCGTCTGTTCAACATTTATATGTACTAGTATTCGAACTCCACGAACTCGTGAGTTATAATTGAAAAGCTTGCAAAAATGTTGGAATCCGAATCGTTTCTTACCCTTTAGTGTTTTGTTTTTGGTAGTGCCAATCGTTAAGCGTATATTTTATACGCCATATGGATACACATGTGGGTGTATGTCAAATAGACAGCAACTAAACGACAAAAAAAACCCAAAAGATGTCTAAAATTGAACACATAAGGATTTTGATAACAACCATCGCACTGTAATTAAATTCCAAACTGCTTGTGGTAAAATGTCACAAAGCACTTCAACTCATACAGTCATTTTTACTGATAATTAAATGATAGCTACAATTCCCTTTACCTAGTGAAAACCTTAGGTGAAAAACATATTATTCCGTAAAAGGCAAAAAAAAATTAAAAAAATTACGAATTCATTACAAAGAATCGGTCACGAATCCCGGGTTTTTTTCCAAATCAAAGTTGGCTTCATTTCTCGGTCAACAAAACTTAAAGGCACATGAAGTTTCAAACTAGGAACATATCTGAGTGTCATGCACATTTCAGTAATGTTAGTCCATTAATGCCAATAGGTCTAACAAAAATAATTATACATCGGATTTCCATTCTAAGATATTTTCTACAATTCTAATTATACTTCTGGCAATGCAAAGTCTAATACTGAAATACAATAATTTGACATTTTAATCACTGTATAGTTCTCAAGTAGACATAAACTATGATACAGAATGTCTCATGGTCAGTGCATTTTTTAGAAGAAACAATAATTATGTTTTATTAGTATTCTAACTCTTTCACCAAAATGTTTTTAAGGAACCGTAAAGTAGTACAATGCTTTATGTAACTCAATTTCATTGTAACAATGGAACAATGAACTTGATAATTTGTTTGCATGTAGAACTGAAAAGTCTCAGGCTGTATTTTTGGTGCAAAAACAAATTTAGAGTCTCATAGGCATGTGACCTAACGACCTGCATATCTATGCTCTCAATGTTCCATTTTCAATGGATTTTTCGAAATTTACATATTCTTTACAGCAAAACAGATTATGAGTCAAAAGGAGGAGAACCCACTCGTGAAGGAGAGGCTGACAGACCACTAGTGGAGGAGGGGGGCTGACAGTCCACTAGTGGAAGAGGGGCAGACAACCCACTAGTGAAGGAGGGGCTGACAGTCCACTATTTAGGGAGGGAGGCTGATAGACCACTAGTGGAGAAAGGGACTGATAGACCACGAGTGGAGGAGGGGACTTACAGTCCACTAGTGGAAGAGGGGCTGATAGTCCACTACTAAAGGAGGGAGGCTGACACACCATCAGTGGAGAAGGGGACTGACAGACCAGCAGTGGAGGAGGGGACTGACAGACCACAAGCGGAGGAGGGGACTGACAGACCACTACTGAAGGAGGGAGGCTGACACACCACCAGTGGAGGACGGGAATGACAAACCACAAGTGGAGGAGGGGACTGACAGACCACTACTGAAGGAGGGAGGCTGACACACCACCAGTGGAGGACGGGAATGACAGACCACCTGTGGAGGGGCCGACAGTCCACTACTGAAGGAGGGAGGCTGACACACCACCAGTGGAGGGGGACTGACAGACCACCAGTAGAGGAAGGAGACTGACAGACCACCTGTGGAGGAGAGGACTGACAGACCACCAGAGGAGGAGGGGACTGACAGACCACTAGTGGAGGAGTAGCTGACAGTCCACTACTGAAGGAGGAAGGCTGACACGACACCAGTGGAGGAGGGGAATGACAGACCACCAGTGGAGGGACTGACAGTCCACTAATGAAGGAGGGAGGCTGACACACCACCAGTGGAGGAGGGGACTGACAGACCACTAGTAGAGGAGGGGACTTAGAGTACACTAGTGGAGGAGGGGCTGACAGTCCACTACTGAAGGAGGGAGGCTAACACACCACCAGTGGAGGGGGACTGACAGACCACCAGTAGAGGAAGGAGGCTGACAGACCACCTGTGGAGGAGAGGACTGACAGACCACCAGAGGAGGAGGGGACTGACAGATCACCAGTGGAGAAGAGGCTGGCAGTCCACTACTGAAGGAGGGAGGCTGACACACCACCAGTGGAGGGGGTGCTGACAGTCTACTACTGAAGGAGGGAGGCTGACATACCACCAGTGGAGGAGGGGACTGTCAGATCACCAGTTGAGGAGAGGCTGGCAGTCCACTACTGAAGGAGGGAGGCTGACACACCACCAGTGGAGGAGGGGACTGACACACCACCAGTGGAGGATGGGACTGACAGACCACTAGCTGGCATAAATATAAATATTGTACCACTGAATATAATATTCTGAAGACGATTACTTCTGGGTTGTATTTAGATAAATATGTACCGAAGAGATTTTTTGTTCTGAAGATAATTACTTCTGGTTTGTATTTAGATAAATCTGTATCACTGAATTGAATGTTCTGAATAAATTACTTCTAGGTTATGTTTCTAGATAAACATGTTCCACTGGATTTAACGTTCATAAGATAATTACTTCTAGGGTTGTATTTAGATAAATCTGTACCACGGAATATAATATTCTGCAGACAATTACTAGTACTTCTTGGTTGTATCAATCATCAAAGTGCATGAAACAGATTTACAACCCCACCATAATTACTAGAAGCAGAATCACACGAAATATATCAGAACCAAATTACTGAACAATGTAACTATGGTGTGACTTATCACCAGGATAATAGAATGTATTCCACTAGTAGAGTAGGAACTGCTAAACCTACTGAGGCACCACATGAGTAACAGAATGGATTCCACTAGAAGAGGAGGAACTGCCAACCCTACTGAGGAACCACATGAGTACCAGAATGGATTCCACTAGAAGAGGAGGAACTGCTAACCCTACTGAGGCACCACATGAGTAACAGAATAGATTCCACTAGAAGAGGAGGAACTGCTAACCCTACTGAGGCACCACATGAGTAACAGAATGGATTCCACTAGAAGAGGAGGAACTGCCAACCCTACTGAGGGACCACATGAGTAACAGAATGGATTCCACTAGAAGAGGAGGAACTGCCAACCCTACTGAGGGACCACATGAGTAACAGAATGGATTCCACTAGTAGAGGAGGAACTGCCAACCCTACTGAGGGACCACATGAGTAACAGAATGGATTCCATTAGAAGAGGAGGAACTGCTAACCCTACGGAGGCACCACATGAGTAACAGAATGGATTCCACTAAAAGAGGAGGAACTGCTAACCCTACTGAGGCACCACATGAGTAACAGAAAAGATTCCACTAGAAGAGGAGGAACTGCTAACCCTACTGAGCCACCACATGAGTAACAGAATGGATTCCACTAGAAGAGGAGGAACTGCCAACCCTACTGAGGCACCACATGAGTAACAGAATGGATTCCACTAGAAGAGGAGGAACTGCTAACCCTACTGAGGCACCACATGAGTAACAGAATGGATTCCACTGGTAAAGGAGGAACTGCCAACGCTACGGAGGCACCACATGAGTAACAGAATGGATTCCACTAGTAGAAGAGGAACTGTTAACCCTACTGAGGCACCACATGAGTAACAGAATTGATTCCACTAGAAGAGGAGGAACTGCTAAAACTACTGAGGGACCACATGAGTAACAGAATTGATTCCACTAGAAGAGGAGGAACTGCTAACACTACTGAGGCACCACATGAGTAACAGAATTGATTTCACTACTAGAGGAGGAACTGCTAACCCTACTGAGGCACCACATGAGTAACAGCTTTACATTTCAGAAGGTAGAAGATCTGGATGCTTCATACCTTGAAATACCTTGTTACGAAGTTTCCATCTGTCATACTAGTATGTTCATTGGCCTTGACCTCATTTTCATGTTTCAGCGAATGCTTAATTTTTTTTTGTCATGTGAATTTCTCCCTTACTATGAGTAATATGGAAACCATAATTTGGTATATGGGTTCCTTGCAACGTCTACATATCAGTCATACAGGGTCCACCTGACCTCGACCTCATTTCATGGATCAGTAATCAAGGTTAAAGTTACATGATTAGGTCCGTTTCTCAGATACTATAAGCAGTAGGTCAACTATATGTGGTGTATGGAATGATTGTAAGGGGTGCTTATCAGTCTGGCAGGTTTCATCTGACCTAGACCTCATTTTCATGGTTCATTGGTCAATATTAATTTTTTCTGTTTTGGTCTGTTTTTCAAGTACTAGAGGCAAAACGTCAAACTATATTTGGTGTATCGAATAATTGTAAGGTGTGCATGTCTGTCTTGCAGGTATCATCTGACCTACACCTTGTTTTCATGGTTCATTGGTCAATGTTAAGTTTTTGTCTGTTTTGGTCTCTTTTTCAAATAATAGCAATAGGTCAGCTTTATTTGTCGTATGGAATAATTGTAAGGTGTACATGTCTGTCCAGCAGGATTTATCTGACCTGGACCTCATTGTCATGGCTCTTTAAAAATGTAAAGTTTATGTGATACTTGTAGTAAAACCTTTATCTTCAAGACTTTCAACATAAAATCAATGGTCAGCAAAGCAGGCAAGACATTTCAGTGTGTACACTCTTGTTTAAGTAATGGAAGGTTAACCATTAAGTATTTATGTTTTAATTTTTAAAGGAGGGGTTTGTTGTGGTGTTGCAAGAGGTCATGTTGGCAAATTGATTTTATATGTCGGATCCTAGAGGTCTCTTTGACATTGATTATTGGTACCAAAATAAAGCAGATAGAGAAATTTCTTTGCTGATGGACTTTGCACTACTGATTTAAGGATGGTTATGTTTTGGTCAAACTAGGCCTGACAGACGTTTTTAGGTGCATGGAATTCTTACCAGCAAATGATTTTTATGAAGTAAGCAATTTGGCCATAATAAAATACAGTTTTCTTGTTATCAAATTTATTTCCTATGACATTTTAACATTTAACATGGGTCAATGATTACACATACCAACATATGTAAAATATAAATATATACATGTATATATAAAATGAGCAAGTTTAGAATCACCGGGGAAATATTTGTCTTTTCTGAATCAACTAGGAAAATCAACATGGCACAAATGATAACTGTTATAGAACCAACAAGAATATAATATATAATCACCGGGTAATAATAGGGAAATAGCTTTACAAAGAGATGTTTTACAATCAGTAGGGAAATAACATTGCAAAAAGATATTGTACAATAAAAACAGAAATAATATAATAAATAGATGTCTAGAAATCACCAGGGGAAAACAATGCTACATATATATATTTTGTATATAACAGAAAAATAATATTAAAAACATATTTTGCAATTCAAGGGGAAGTAACATACAAACAGATGTACCTGAATTATCATGAAATAATATTAGAAAAGTTTAAACTGAATCACCAAGTTAATTATATCACAAACTGATCCAAATCATCAAGGAAATAATATACCTCTGAATCATTTGGTCAAATAATGTATCTTAACTAATATGGAAATACAACTAATATTTCATTTCATTTAAGATTCATCTCTGGGAATTAAGGAAATTACTGTAAATTCAGAAATTATTGTGCGCATTTTTTATTGCGATTTTTTAAGAATGGACAAAAATGCGAGATTAATTAATGTGATTTTAGGAAAATCTTCAAACAGGTACACTCCGGCTTCCTCCACCAATAAAAACTGGCCGCCACGAAATAGCCCAAAAGCGGTGCTTAAAAGTGGCGTTAAAACACCAAAAATCAAAAATCAAATCAAACAGGTACATGTATCAGATATCAGAATACGAGTTCTTATTGTTGCAATACTCACCCAGTCACATTATTCGCATCAATAAATACCTTGCAATAATTTCTGAATTTATAGTTTATTACAAATACTGGGGATTCATATAATTTCAGGAGTACTAATTTTCATGGATATAATATTGTATTTTCGTGGATACTTGATTTTGTGGTTTTTGCAAAAATTCTTCATACAAGCATATAAGAAATTTGTATTTCGTTGAACATTAGAATTTGTGGTTCACCTGTACGCATGACAATGAGTACCCTATGGATAAATACAGTTGTTACTATATATATATCTATAATACATCAATCAACAACATCTCAGAGTCACAAAATTAATTAAACAAAATCATGGAAAACATTAAACATATTATCAGTTTTGACAATTTAATTTTGAGGAGGTAAGCAGTATATTTTGATATGAGGAGACTGTCATGAAATTACCACCACACATATTACATTCTATTCAACATTTCTCACAACCTTTTTCAGTCAAAATACATGTTCTACTTATAAGCAAGCATGTTATACCCCACAACAATTCCTGATTATAACATTTAAATGTTTTTTGTGCAGAGCTTTTCTTAGCAGATAAAAAACTTGGTTTCAGTTTCCAATTGATTTCTCTGTTTAGGATTCATTTCAGTAAAATTTAATTACAAATCAAATAATAATTGTATGTATTTGATAGAATGATTGTATCCTCTTGAGTCAACATCTGTTACATAGGGAATGTTAACAATTAACACCAGGAGTGTCAACAATTAACATCAGGAGTGTCGATGATTAACATCATGAGTGTCAACAATTAATATCGGAAGTGTCAATGATTTACATCAGGAGTGTCAACAGTTAAAATCAGGAGTGTCAACAATTAACATCAGGAGTGTTAACAGTTAATATCAGGAGTGTCAACAATTAATATCAGGAGTGTCAACAGTTAACATCAGGAGTGTCAACAATTAACAACTGGAGTGTCAACAATTAAAATTATTAACATCAGGTATGTAGGTGAGTATAATTATCTAATGATTGAAAAAAATACCAAACTAAAATGTTAGCTCTGTTGATCTGCATAGCACATAAATTAAGCAATATTATAAGTACTCAATAATATGGCCTAATTCAGAAAATATTGCAATTTTGATAGATGCAGGTACATTTTCTAGTTGGAAAGGGCATTACATTAAAGGATCAACCGATTAAATCTATTGTTTTGAAATGCTACACTTGTTTCCTTTTACTTTGCCAAAGATTATACACTTGTGAATATCTTAATTACACCATATTTTAATGGCAGAAGTATATATAATATATATGCAGTTCATGGTTTATTTATGTTGTATGTGAAATACAATACATATAATAAATGTACATTTGTATTCAGTGGCAAATATATTAATATAAAAATAAGAAGATGTGGTATGATTGCCAATGAGACAACTCTCCACCAGAGACCAAATGATGTAGAAGTTAACAACTAAAGGCCACCATACCGCCTTCAACAATGAGCAAAACAATGAACGAAAAACATTATATACTTAGATGGCACAATTGAAATTAAATAAATATGTACTCATCATGGCATATTTAGATATATAAACTAGAGGCTCAAAGGAGCCTCTACTGCTCACCTGGTATTTTTTCATAAAACTGATACTACAATGCAATAAGAATTAATGTGTGTTGATTAGAAACTGTGGGCCAAAATATTATCTTGTTAGACTTAGTTTACGTCTATCCATTATAGTTTTTAAGTAAGTCAAAAATGAATAAAATAGTAGATTTGTCTAGTTTAGAACCGGTCTAGATCTTGAAAAAGGGAAACATTTTGTGTTAAAATTGCATGTTATCCATTATGTTCTATTTTTAGCATTTTGGGCAGGTAAGCTAATAAGATGTCAAGTACTTTCATGGCACATGTAGAGCTAATAAGATGTTAAATATTTTCATGGCACAGGTAGAGCTAATATGTTAATATTTTCATGGCACATGTAGAGCTAATTTTAAACAGCTGCAATTTATAAGATATTTTTCACCAGTTTGTTTGCATTGACACTACTGTAGATACTATATGACATGAGTAAGGTCAAATTTTGAAGTAGACAGCAGTCTGATGAAATTTACAGCATTATACCACTATTTATCTAACACAAAAAAAATCATTTTAAGACTTAGGTTTCTATGAAAAACAAGTTGTCTCTTAATGAACTGGAACACTCAACCATTTAGGTGTATCTTCACTCTGATCACACAAGATAAAAAATATGGTAAAATACTGTTTTTTTTATTTTGAGGTGAAAATTATTTGGCAATCACTTTGTATGTCAACCATTTTTTAGCATAAAACAATAAATATGAAATAAAAAAAAACCTGAATAGAATAAACCTTGGCCACCCACTTAATGCTAGAGGTAGCTATATATCATAAATGCAATATTTTAGAACAATATAAAAAGATATCATCAGCTATGGCGTACAAATATGAATGAAGTATCATATAATATAATAATAAAAGATATGCATCACTGAAATCTGTAACATATCAAAGTTATTACATGCACATGTCACCGGTTAACAATCAAATGTGTAAACAATCAAATGTCATGAAAAATCTTTTCAGCAAAAATAAAAAATGAATTAGAATAACAAGTAATAAATATTACAGCATACTCTATACATTTTTTGTTATATTTGGTAATGAGTGGTTGATTCTAATTTTATTTTGTAAAGAGCTGTTAAAAAATCACCAGGTGTTGAAACCAAAATTGCCCAGCTGGAACTCAGCCTCAGGGATAGTCTAGTAATTATATTATATAGTATTATATTCAAAATGTTAATAAAGATGGAATCTACCTAATTACAGAACTCATTTTTTTATTATGGATGAAGAGTTTTGATTTCTTGAATTGATTCCACTTAATGTTTTCTTTATTACTTCTGACAGCTTGTATGACAAACTGAATGGTATAAAACATTAAGGAAAATGTGCCAAATCAAAAGCATGTGTTAAAAAGGTACACACTACAACCAACCAAAAACAACAACTCATAAATGGTCAGTTGCAAGGCAAAATTTTTGACACCTAAGGTTTTTTCTTCCATTGGCACATATATTTCCTACCTTTCTGTAATTATTGGCTTGTTTTCACAATTTCTTGTTCTGAATATTAAAGAAATGTTTGGCACAGGGTGTTAAGCAAACAACAATCAATCAATCAACCTGTGTGCATACATTTTTAAAACAATTTATTTCATCATTACACATGTTTATTTTGAGACTTAACAGCTTTTATCAAAATATGCTAAAGAAAAAAAGTACATGTTTATATATCAATTATTTTTTCTTGCTATAGACCAACAGATTTTATCAACACATGTTAATGATATACATGTAACATGTTTCAAAGAAACTTTTTAAAAAGAGTGTTTGATTTTAATTATTCAATTACATGCATAAGGTATTGATCGAGTACTGTAAGGTCTATATAAACATCAAGGTACATGATACAGCTCTGGAAAAAGTACTCTCTAGAAAAAAAGATTAGAAAACCTAAAACATCTTGAGCACTAAAACCGAAACGAAAAAATTCTACACAAATAACCTAATTCATTTAAGATCAACCACACAATTGCCATTGTAGTTGTATCCAAGAGATAAAAGCACTGGAAGTTGTGAGGCATTCCACAGTCAAGCAAACAATCAAAACTTATTGTTCTATAATCTTATAATGCCTCAAAATAACAAAATTTAACTTTCAATATTTTTCATCAATTGCCTACTAACAGCATGAACAGGTCTGGTCATTTTTGGGACTGTCCAGAAATAATAACTAGATGTGTTGGGACGAAATGAATGTCTGGCCTGCTGTCAAATTCAATGAGCCATAATTCAATAAGAGATTTGGGATGCAATATATGCCTTAGCAAAATTGAAACCTATTCTTTTATTATTTTAGTGTAATTGGTATGAAAATAAGGTGATGTGGTATGATTGCCAATGAGATAACTATCCACCAAAGTAATAATGGAGTTGATTATTTCTCGAGTTCCCTAGATTTGGCAGGTCTGAACTGAACTTGAAGGTGTTGGATCTTACTTTTTACAGTTTAATCATCCTCAGATGTGTCACAGTCTGCATAAAGATTATCTTGATTAATAACTTATTCATATGTATCCTTTGTGTCTACCAAATGAACCATTTAATGGCATCATGGTGAAAACATGTTTAAAATACATTCTAATTATAACTTATAACATCATATATATGTAAAATCTTGATTTAATCAAACATCCAGAATTTTTGTTATTTTCACAAGTGACAACAATGTGAGATAATAGGACAACATCTGGTTTCCACTTTTCAAAAAGATGATCTCAAGTCAACATTTCCCCTTAGTTTTATCAAACTTGTTAAGAAACACAAAAATACTTCTAATCTGTCAACACTTTTGAGTAATTTGAGTAAAAATTTAAGGCTGATAAATCTTTTAAATTGGACACAAGAAGGCAAACTTTAGATTTTAAGGTTAGTTCAAAACCAAGTGCAATTTTTATCTTAGACTAATTTTGTAGATTAATATAAAATAAGGAGATGTGGTATGATTGCCAATGAGACAACTATCCACCAAAGTTCAAATAAAGTGAATGTAAGCAATTATTGGCAACCGTACGGCCTTCAACAATGAGAAAAACCCATACCGTATAGTCGGCTATAAAAGGCCCTGACATGAAAAATATGAAACAATTCAATTGAGAAAACTTACGGCATAATTTATAACAAAACAATTTACGAAAAACAAATACGGCAGACGTAAACCTGTTATTTTATTAGTGGCTGATCACTATGGGAAAAAAATGAAATATGTATTTTTTCTATTTTTCTAGACCTCAATATTTGTAAAAGTTGTCTTGTAATTATAAAACCATTCATAAAACACAACTACTGTTATCAAATCAAATTCAGTATCTGTAATCAAATTATCACTAAATTCAAGTTTATAATCATTGAATATCATGCCAAGTAATCACATAATCATTGAATATCATGCAAAGTAATCACATAATCATTTAATAAAACAGCCAATTTCACAATGAACATAGAACATATAACAACCTAGAGAGTCAAACTTCTAGGGCCTATAGTAGCCTAATACCCCTGGATTATAAACAAAGTAGGTTATATATATATATATATATATATAAAATATCAGCTGTACAATATTAATCTGTCCTGCTTACATTGACATAAAAAGTTTCCTGGATATTTCATATTTGCAGATACCAGATTTTGGTTATAAAAAAAAATTATTACTGGTATTAAAGTTAGATAACTACCATCAGGAAAAAATTTATAATAAAATTTCTGGTTAGCCTGAAAAAATCAATTTTATGATAACTTTAAAAGTAACAGCATCAGCTCAAACTAATAACAAAAACTTAAAAACATTCCAATAAATAGGAATCAACCCTGATTTCCTGTTTATGATATGAATTAACAATATCTAATTTTTCTGTTCATATGACTTTTCTAATATGGCACAAGGTATTTTAAAGATATACAAATAAAGAAATCTACTATCAATTGCACCCAACTCTAAAATGCCCATTGTATACAAAACACACTTTTTTCTTCTAAATAAAATTGAGCATCATAAATCATTATTGTGAAATCACTTTTATTTATAATGTATCATTAGAAAAGGTTTGTATTCATTTACTGATGGACTTCCAATAAAAATCTCATTTTTTTAATGGCAATATATGGACTTTCATCTACTAAAGTTATCAAAATACTCCTAATTCTCTTTGTCCATGAATAAAAGTTATTTCACAACACCTTTCACAAATTTATGAATACCAGTTTATATGTTACCTGTACCTTACTTGGTACCTGACAAACCAGTTCATACCTGAGAGTATTTGGAAGTTCTGAGTTTGCAATTTAATGATATGAATGAAAATTTGACAGTTGAAACCAGAGATGCTATCCATTATACAGTTTCAACTTGTTTGTACTCAAAAATGTGGTACTCAGCTCCTAAGCTCATCAATGACAGGAAACCAGCAATATACACTTTTCAGTAGTTAATACTGGATAATGGAGAACATCCCAGCAAAAATTAATGCCACGCCAGCCATGAATAAATAACTGGATATAACAGTGCACAATGAATAACTAAACTAAAAGTTTGCTTTGCAAGTCTAATATTAGACACTCTACATATATTCTATATTTTGAAGAAAAAACTTAAAACTGCCAAGGCATGCCAAGAGATAATTACAGCTGATACAAGTCCTAAGGGCCAGCTAAGGTAAAATGCATGATTGTGATTTGAAATTCAACAACAATTAGTGAAAATGCATACCTTTACATTTGTTAATTGCAGAGTGATAACCGGCAAGAAGCAAAGCAGCACTAATATAATGATTCCCTGAATATTATAACACACATGGCATAGTATATGGTTACATTAAAACAATGTATGGTATTTTAAGAGTTTTGACCTGAGGATTCAAGGCAAGGATAGGAGCAAATCTATGAGTGTTGTGACATGACAATACTTGCTTTTAAATACATTTTGTATTAAGTAATATGTTGTATATTACTTAAGTTATGCTTATTACAATGTATCTAACATTTTGTTGATTTTAGGGAAAATTATACAAAGAAAATCGTTGAAACTAATTCACTGAATAAACATACATTATGTCTTTGTGGCCTACAATATACTGTGTACAACTTGCTGTCTGAAAAACATCAATTAGAAAAACCTCTGCTAAAATATAATTCTGATATCTCTTTAAAAATCAGTATATTACAAGTAAATAACACTTTTCAAATGTCTTTACACCGGTATTCTTTTGAGCTTGGAAAATTTCCATTGTTAGGACCAACACTCAATAAATAATTTACACAAATACATATTTATAAATATATTTATAATTTTTTTGAGGACTACTTGATTTGGAATGATATACAAATTAAGCAACTTTCACAGACATAAATAAAAAACGAAAATAAAAAACATTCCATAAAACTAAACAGAATAACTTTCTTAACTATTTAAACTGAAATGAAAAGTTGTTTTTATATATCACAATTATGAATAAAATAGAAATTAAACAACCAAACTGCCAAACATGCAAAAACTACTGAGGACTCATGTCTAAGGAAGAAAATAATCAATAAACTTGGTCAAGAGTTTGGTTTTTTTTTATGGTTGAAATTATAAATTTATGAAAACTCCTTATTACTATTCATTAAATTTTTAAGTTTGATCTCCAACTGTAACAAGCTCTGTGCAAGTTTCTATGGTTCATCTAACAAAGAGGTAAATGTTATTATTCTCTCAACACACTCAGACAGATTAGCTGTAATATAACAGTGATCTCATTCAATAAGTATCTAGTTCCAAACACCAATTTTGATCTGATACAGAATAAATTTCAAGAACTAAAGATCAATTTTGCACAAAAATAAATTGCATTAGAGATACTGAGGTAGTTCTGTCAATCATAAAGTACAAAAACATAGTCACATCTGTTTAGATCAAATTGAGAGATAAATTTCAGAAAAATATTTTGTTTTCGGCTTATCAAATATATTTTTAAATTTCTGTGTAAGATCTTAAACAAGGTAATTTGTGAATCAAAAAGGAAAGTATGAAAGATAAATATACAACATGAAAAGGAAAATAATCTGGAACAAAAATTTAAAATGTAATTGATGATCAATAACATAACTTTATCCAACAGATGAGCTATAAAAACAACACATATATACAACAATTCACCGGTTATAACCTTCTTGCCTTTCTGCAAGATAATGACCCCTTTCCATTCTCCCGATAGCACAACAAAAAGTTAACGCCATGCAAGTGTAAAAGGTAACATAATTTGTTGGGCTTCAGACCCATGAAATTTTACTGAATATTTCCATTGTCACTTTGACCATATTTTTTCAGTTCAACATTAAAAGATTGAATGCTTACTGTGAGTTCTTCTATATATTAAACATTTCTTTGATTAGTGGTGCAGTGTCGGAGAGATCCTTCGATTTGTCAATGATGCCAATTCTGATGTTTTGACCAAATGCCTCAACAGCTTGGCGCAGATCTGTGACCAGCATAACAAGATTGGGAAATAAATGGCGTTGTTTTGGATGATTGTGTTTCAATTCGATTCTCAAAGCTTGAAGTAGATCTTGCTGTATTTTGTCTATTTCTGTTGGACTTTGAAGAAAAGGATTTTCTGTGAAAAAAGTATTGTTTCTTATCATTAATAGTTTAATACATCACACAGTGATCACATGAAGTTTGATAACAAATTTCAGGAAGCTTTAAATTGTAGCTTCTTAGAAAAATGTGACGAAAAATTACATACATGACCATTATGTGTTAGAATGTATAAGTAATCAGTAAACAGGAAGTTGATAAGTGATAAAACTGAAAATGCATCACACAGAATAGCATGCCAATAAGAAGTCTGATAACACATTTTGGGAAACTCTTTATATTAGTTTGCTAGAAAAATGAGACGAAAATGTCATACATGGCAATTATTTGTAGGAATATATTAAGTATTCGGTAAACAGGAACTTGAAAGTTGATGAACTGAAACTGCATAACACGATATAGCATGCATGTTCACACGAAGACGGATAACAAATTTCAGGAAGGTCTGTTTTGTAGTTCCTGAGAAAAATGTGTTTTAATTTTATGGGATGACAGAAAGATAAACAGAGGTAAACAGTATTTCCACCCTACTTAAGAGCAGTGGTATAAAAAATTTAGTTCTATTAACTGCTTGTATCTCAAAACTAGCATAGTGACCTATCTTTAATTCTTAGGATTCTGATTTATTTAACTCAATTGAAAAAGGCCTAATATATGAAAATGCTGCTTTTTTTTTTAATATCAGCAGTGAGGTGAACAATAATTCTCAATTTACACTTGCGCTAAATTGTACATGGTTACTAACCTGAAAAACAAAGTGTGGCACAAAACAATGAAATCTCTGATTGCAAAAGTTCAAATTTCTTCAACTTTTCGTAAAACTTCCAAATCTGACCAAAAAGTTGTCTGACGATCCTACATTCTTCTAACAGACTTTTGTTGAGAATTAAATTCACCTCCATTCCAGGAATTTTAAATTTCACATCTTCCACTAATGGACTCATCTGAAAAAAATATAAAATTTTGATTTTTTACATAATTGAGAAGGATAAAACATCATGCAGAAAAAGAAGTAAAAAGGTCAAGTTTCTGTACAAGGACAAGAAATTTATTCTGATATGATTTTTGGGGGAATTATCTTCGTGTAGCTTAAATCTTGTCATTACAATATTATATTTTATCTTGAAATTCACAGCTTATTTTTTGCTTGGTAAAGAATGATATTCAGTGAAAGTAATGTATTCAAAACTGTTGTTGCTCACTTATGGAGTTCAAATTTTTTGTTATTTTACTTTTTATTTAAAATTTACAAAACTGTTGATATTACTACAGTTTTTTTGTGATTTTCAAAATTTTGGCACAATAGTTCAGTTTGAATCTGTCTTCAAACATTTAAAATTTAATGAATTTACAAATGTAACAAAAATAAGATGGAAGGATTATTTCTTTATAAAGGATTCAGTATATAAAACATAACCTTTTATTTCAAATATAGGGCCAATGATTTCATACGTAAATTTAAATGTCTGTCCTTTCTATTCAAATACACTGATACTCATTTGTAGAGAAGAAAATTATAATTAAAAGGAGCTATGGAACAATCATCAATGAGACAAAAACAAAATAATATAAATTAACAAACTATGATGATCTGGTTTTAAAGAAGTTTTTAATATATGTTTTTTAATTTTTTTTAGAGTAAGATTATAAGAGTTGATTTTGAAGAAGTTTCTAATTATTTTGAGTTGATATACAGGTTTAATCAGTTTATCTTTTTAGTATTTTCCAGAAACAATTGTTTCTGGGCATATTTGATCTATACAAATTTCTTAAGCACAAAAAATATTTAAACCCATAATGCACATGCATTCAGCAGACTTACCGCTACTATGGCAACAGACATAGATGCCTGCTTCATTAATGTGATCTGATCATATGTTGATAGCTCTAAAAATCCAGGAAGTTGTTTAGCAAATCTTACGGCTCCCTCCATCAATGGCAGCACTACTTCTTGATATTTTATGTAAATCTTCCAATTCTCAAAATCTTCCTCTGATTCCAGTCTGTTTATCACTATATCTTTGCTCTCCTACAAAACAAATTTAGTATAAAAATATTTTACCAGGTACCCTGTCTCATCTATTTCAATAAGTTTCTGTCCATAATTTTATTAAAAGGATAAAAAGTTTTATTTATTTCAAAATGTGCAAAAAAATTTAAATCATAAATTGACATCACAAGCAACTTGTGAATATTTCCAGTTTTTTTTGGTATGTATTTCCATATTCAAATTATTATATGAATCAAACCAATACAACTGCCATTTGCTTGATTTTTGGTGAAATGCACACTCATCAGTGCCTTAAAATGTTACTATTACATGTATGACTATTTTGTTCTTTAATAGATATTTTTAATAGAATTACAAAAATACTAAAAAAATTCCAACCTTGTCCTTAAAGACTCTGAATCCATGTCAAGATTTTATAGCTTCTATAATGAACTTTATTTCACTTGTTTTTTCTACACTACTACTGAATTTTTCATTCTTGTTTAACAATATATTATTATGATTGGTATATAACTGTCAATAATTCTAACTCACATGTGTCACCATCATCTTTCTGAATAAATCAGAACTTAAACTACATGTTGATGAAACATTGATAACTGGTTACATCAGTTTTGACCATTGCTGCCGTAGGAATTTACCATCAATTCTACCAGAAATTTGTAAAGACTGTTATTGTATCATATAGAGCTCACTGATTATTGTGACCATTGTAGAATTCAGCATGTTGAGAATAACCTTGATCAAATGCGGAGGAACTGACTATTTTATTATTATATGGTGATTAACTATGTTTAACAGATTTAACCAGAAATTCTATGATAATTTGGTAAAATAATTGAGCTATCAGATACTCACTTGTTTTTCATCATCCCCACCATTGAATTTGAGGAGAATTTCCACAACATGTTGATGAAATGACTGTTTTATAATATCTGTTATAGATCGTAACTCCAGTATTCTCACGCTGCTGTTCTCTTCCAGTTCTTCTTTGTCAGCCATTAACTTTTCTCTTTCAACTTTTGGCATTCTTCCAAATCGTACAGCTGCAATTGAAAGAAAAATAATAATTCATTGAGGTATTTTCAAAAGTCATAAATCAATAAACAAATAGCATTGCTAGGATAATTGTAATCTTCTTGGATAATTGTAATCTGTTTGGATAATTATAATTTGCTTGGATAATTGTAATTAGCTTGGATAATTGTAATTTGCTTGCAGGCCTGGGGCCATTACATTGCAATGTAATGCATTACATTACAATTACTTTGTGATTCTTCCATTACAATTACATTTTTTCTCACATGTAATGCATTACATTACAATTACTTTGCCTGTGTAATGCATTACATTACACATTACTTTTTCAATATAAAAACATTTAAAAAACAGATTTTTATAAGAAATTGATAAATTTTACTGGGGTATATGTACATATATATACAGTGTTAGTGACATAGACTTCAAATCAAGGATCCGGAAATTTTTTCACACAATTTCGGTCATATTGAGATGATTGAAAAGTTGGTGCCTCTTTTCAAATTGTCGATGTCAAATTAGATTCAGACTCATAGCATCAACAAACTTGAATTGCTGTTTCATCGCATTTACTAAGTAAATTTCTTACCATTTTTCTAAAACCTTCAAGAACAGTTTAGGGAAGGTAACAGTTTAAAATTGAAATGATTTTAATGACTCAAAATGGTTAATTTCACAGACATTGCTATCGTTTCTTTCGATTTGACGAAATTAAAACCGAAAGTTTTGCGATAATATTAAAGTACGGATGATTCTGGATTCATTTCCGGGATTCGTTTTGTTTATCAAATTGTAGACAGGAAATCATCTGCTTTTTAATTTTATTACCTTTAAAAGTGTTTGAATATAACAGATAATAGTTGCACTCGTTTACTTTAGCATGAAAGCAATTTACATGTTACGATTAAATGTTTAATTTGCTTAAGACAATTTCACGCATGCAGATTACATAGTAAATAAAGCGCATGTGTTACTCGTGAAAAAAACACATTTTTCTTCATAAATTAAATCAAGGTTTAATTTTTAAATCAGAATTAATGATTGTCTTTGCTGAAAAGTAATTAAATAATGAATACACTTGTCAGGGAATTTTAATTTCTTTTAGATATTATTCTGAGCTTGTGATCAATAAAAAACACAGGTAAAAAGTAATTAGCTGTCATAAGCCAATGTTCCAGGAGGCTTTGATAAAGTTATTAGGAGGGCCCTCAGGATTATCAAACTATACTGGAGTGGCAGTTTTATTACAGGAAAGGGATTATTAACAAAAACAAGTGATCACAAGTGCAAAATGGCGATTCAGAAATCCGATTTCAAACATTGAGTCAATGAAATGACCGAAATTATTTCTGTTAAAAAATAAAATTTGTCCTAAATCCCAATTACTCGTTTAGGACATATAGCTTTCAGTTTAGGACATGACTGGCAAATATGACCGTTTCCGGACCCTTGCTTCAAATACTTGAAAAATAAATAAGTTATCATATAATTTTGTTTCTAACATTGATCACTTAAACATTAAGACATCATAAAGGGATTTCAAAGGGATATAATAAATGTGCAATTAAATGATTATCTTGTTAAATGCCTAAGGGCTCTGTGAGGACAAGCATAAGTTTGATTGCAATAAAAACATTTTGATATTAATTAGGTAAAATAACAACCACAGTTTGGTGTAAAAATGTTGATTGACATATTCATATTTTGTCCATTCATCTATACAGTTTTGTTTAATAATTATTTTTAGAAGATTTTTTAAGGGCAAACTATCTATAATGATTTAATACAGTAATTAACTGTGACAATAATGTTATTCAATATTTTCTTTTGTTTTTGTTAATATTTTATTTTTATTTTACTATATTCTTCAATTTTATGTATTTTACCAATTTGTAATGAAAAGTAATGTACAGTAATGGAGGCATTACATTGATTTTTAACTAAAGTATTCATTACATTACATGTAATTGTAATGCAGAAAATGTGCATTACAAATTACTTTGCATTACATCAAAAAAATGTAATATTACAATGCATTACAATTACAAATTACCATTACCCCAGGCCTGTTTGCTTGGATTCTTTATATGACTATAAGCTTTCATCTCAGGGTGAAAGATATAAATGAAGATGTAATAAAACATACGGTAAATGGCTTTTTTTCTTTCATTTGTTTACAGGAATTTCAAAGCATCCATATCTAGCATTCTTATTGGTGTCATTACACCAAAGTTTATTTCAACCATGATGAAAGACATAAACTAACCATCCTGAGACATCCCTGCCCGTAAACATAAACTTACCATCCTAAGACATCCCTGCCCGTAAACAAAAACTTACCATCCTAAGACATCCCTGCCTGTAAACATAAACCTACCATCCTAAGACACTCTACCTGTAAACATAAACTTACCATCCTGAGATATCCCTGCCTGTAAACAAATACTTACCATCCTGAAACATCCCTGCCCGTAAACATAAACTAATCATCCTGAGACATCCCTGCCCGTAAACATACACTTACCATCCTAAGACATCCCTGCCCGTAAACATAAACTAATCATCCTGAGACATCCCTGCCCGTAAACATAAACTTACCATCCTGAGACATCCCTGCCCGTAAACAAAAACTTACCATCCTAAGACATCCCTGCCTGTAAACATAAACCTACCATCCTAAGCAATCTACCTGTAAACATAAACTTACCATCCTGAGATATCCCTGCCTGTAAACAAATACTTACCATCCTGAAACATCCCTGCCCGTAAACATAAACTAATCATCCTGAGACATCCCTGCCCGTAAACATACACTTACCATCCTAAGACATCCCTGCCCGTAAACATAAACTAATCATCCTGAGACATCCCTGCCCGTAAACATAAACTTACCATCCTGAGACATCCCTGCCCGTAAACATCTCTGAAATCTGCAGTGCTGACATTTATTTCTGGACCCTAATGACAGCTTACATTGTTTTATTGCTCGACATGGCTTATACACTAAATTTTTCTTTATGGTCCTTCTAAAAAATCCCTGTAAATACATACAATTATATAAAAATACTTGCAATACATTTGAAAGATTTAAGTAGAGAAAACACTCCCTTCCTGCAAAGCAACATTGTTAAATTAAAAAAGAATGTGTCTGGGGACACCAATGCCCCTACTCAAGCTTGCTTATAATAAGTGAAAATACTTTTTGAACGCATTTGATGTCTCTGCTGGTTTTTAAAAAGGTTAATTGTTCTAGTCTTAGGTATTTTTGTGCTGTATGTTATTTTCATAATTCACTGTTTTGTTTTTATTTCTCATGAAATAAGTTTTCTGAAAAGTTCTGTTGTGTCCAGTGAAACTAAGTTAGTGCGGAAACGAAAAACATTTGCAATTTTCCAAGTTATAAAGGGCATGCCTCTAGAATTGTAAGTGACTCACTGCCCAAATTCAACTTTGGCTGCGAGTTTTGGTTCTTAGCATTGTGTATGAGTTTCATAAATTTTGCGTGAGGCAAACTTAACACTGTGGAAACGAAAAATATTGGCAATTTTCCAAGTTATAAAGGTGCATAACTCTAGAACAGTAAGTGACTCACTGCACAAATTCAAACTCTGTTTGCGAGTTTTGAGTTTCATAAAATTTGGAAGGGGAAAACTTAAGAGTGAGGAAATAAAAATGATACGGAAGGACGAACTGACAGAGAGACAGATGGTCAAGGTTAACACTTAATGCCCACTTAACAGAGCATCGGGGGAATAAAAATTTAGATTACCCAGTACTTATTACAGATTACATTTTCCAAAAATCAATCAGCAAGACATATAAAAATAAAATACAGGTACAAAAGAAAAACTTAGTACTAAAAAAAAGAAAAATAGCTCTAATGATAAATAAAAGATGGTAAAAATACCTGCTTGAAGCCTTTAGTTCAGTGGTTGTCATTGGTTCATGTCTGTCATATTTGTTTTTTCGTAAATTTTGTAATAAATTAGGCATGTAGCTTTCTCAATTAAATTTTTTCATATTTTGCATGTTGGGGCCTTTTATAGCCGACTATATGGTATGGGTTTTTCTCACTGTTTAAGGCAGTCCGGTTGCCTATAATTGCTTACATACACTTCATTTGAACTTTGGTGGATAAGCAATCATACCACATCTCCTTATTTTTATATTGAAAAAAAAACTTTAAATCTGAAAGGAAGTAACACAGGACCATAAACAGTATCTCATCCAAATGTATATGTAAATAAGCTTAGATGGAAAAATTGATTGAAGCACACTTTTAAAAGCATATTGTTATCTTTTTACAACTATTTTGTTTATTCTTAGTTATCACAGACAGACTCTACACTTAACACCTAAAACCTCATTAATAGAAACATAACATGCATAAGTCCTAGTCTATTACTATGAAAAAGTTATACTGAGCGAAAGTACATTGTACTCTGGATCCATAATGGAAACCAGAGACTTTGTCTCTCCAAAGTAATACTAACCTTATAACCTTTATATGAATATATTCCATAATGGAAACCAGAGGCCTTATCTATTCAAAGTTATACATGTACTGACCTTACAACCTTCACAAGAATGTAATCCATAATGGAAACCAAAAACATTGTCTGTCCAAAGTGATACTGTCCTTACAACCTTCACAAGAATGTAATCCATAATGGAAACCTAAAACCTTGTCTGTCCAAAGTTATACTGACCTTACAACCTTCACAAGAATGCACTCAATAATGGGAACCAGAGGCCTTGTCTGTCCAAAGTTATACTGACCTTACAACCTTCACATGAATGTACTCCATAATGGAAACCAGAGGCCTTGTCTGTCCAAAGTTATACTGACCTTACAACCTTCACAAGAATGCATTCACTAATGGAAACCAGAGGCCTTGTCTGTCTAAAGTTATACTGACCTTACAACCTTCACAAGAATGTACTCAATAATGGGAACCAGAGGCCTTGCCTGTCCAAAGTTATATTGACCTTACAACCTTCACAAGAATGCACTCCATAATTGAAACCAGAGGCTTTGTCTGTCCAAAATTATACTGACTTTACAACCTTAACATGAATGTACTCCATAATGCAAACTAGAGGCCTTGTCTGTCCAAAGTTATACTGACCTTACAACCTTCACAAGAATGCACTCAATAATTGAAACCAGAGGCTTTGTCTTTTCAAAGTTATATTGACCTTACAACCTTCACAAGAATGCATTCAATAATGGAAACTAGAGGCCTTGTCTGTCCAAAGTTATATTGACCTTACAACCTTCACAAGAATGCATTCAATAATGGGAACCAGAGGCTTTGTCTTTTCAAAGTTATATTGACCTTACAACCTTCACAAGAATGCACTCCATAATGGGAACCAGAGGTCTTGTCTGTCCAAAGTAATACTGACCTTACAACCTTCACAAGAATGCATTCAATAATGGAAACCAGAGGCTTTGTCTTTTCAAAGTTATATTGACCTTACAACCTTCACAAGAATGCATTCAATAATGAGAACCAGAGGTCTTGTCTGTCCAAAGTAATACTGACCTTACAACCTTCACAAGAATGTATTCAATAATGGAAACCAGAGGCCTTATCTATTCAAAGTTATACTGTCCGTACAACCTTCACAAGAATGTAATCCATAATGGAAACCAAAAACCTTGTCTGTCCAAAGTTATACTGTCCGTACAACCTTCACAAGAATGTAATCCATAATGGAAACCTAAAACCTTGTCTGTCCAAAGTTACACTGACCTTACAACCTTACCAAGAATGTACTCCATAATTGGAACCAGAGGCCTTGTCTGTCCAAAATTACACTAACCTTACAACCTTCACAAGAATGCACTCCATAATAGGAACTAAAGGCCTTGTCTGTACAAAGTTATACTGACCTTACAACCTTCACAAGAATGCACTCCATAATGGGAACCAAAGGCCTTGTCTGTACAAAATTTTACTGACCTTACAACCTTCACAAGAATGCACTCCATAATGGGAACCAGAGGCCTTGTCTGTCCAAAAGTTATACTAACCTTACAGCCTTAACATGAATGTACTCAATAATGGAAACCAGAGGCCTTGTCTGTCTAAAGTTATACTGACCTTACAACCTTCACAAGAATGCACTCAACAATGGAAACCAGAGGCCTTGTCTGTCCAAAATTATACTGACCTTACAACCTTCACAAGAATGTACTCCATAATTGGAACCAGAGGCCTTGTCTGTCCAAAGTTATACTGACCTTACAACCTTCACATGAATGTACTCCATAATGGAAACCGGAGGCTTTATCACCACAAATTCTACACAATACTGCAAGCTCTGTTGTATATAGTTGTTTAGGAGGTGGTAACTGCAAAATAAAATAAACAAACATTCTGAGAGTATTGCATGGCAATACATAGTCCCCTACCAGTTAAAAATTCATTGCATTGGAACAAAATGCTAACTTGATCTTTAACGTGTCATGGTGTAAACTATATAACAAATATCCAGGTAATATCTTCAAGCATGACGAAAAAAGTGTTAAAAAATGATTATTTAAGTGAATTTTCTAAGTCCAAGGACAATAATTCTGCACAAAATCATCAGACCTGAACAAAATTCGAACTTGATCTGTAATTTGTCATGATAAAATAATACACCAAATATCAAATCAATATCTCCAATCATGAAGAAATAAATGTGGATAGTGTCCACATGTGGACACAGATGATGCCCCCGCTTGCATATCATATACTGTGAATTCATTTTTATTCGTGGTATACCAATTTTCGTGGGTTTCGTGGGTCACTGCGAACCACAAATTTAAGAATTCAACGAAGAATTATTCTGAGAAATGTGTATGGAGTCGGATGTTTATTTCCGGTTATGTTATGCTGTTCTAGTATAGTGTTGACTAGCGATAAACATTGTAACATAACACGTGTTTTTATTGAAATAAGATACAAGTATTTTGATAAAATCAATAATAAATATATCGAATATCAGTGATAATTTACTTTTTAAAATTGATTAAAACTGTTCATGTAAAATAACTGCAAGTTGTTTATTACCGTGTCATAGTTTGGTTTACTGGTGATTAAAAATCAATAGGATTAAGTACGGGGATATTTCCCGTAGGTAATATTGTTTATGACAGGAACATTTATTTTCACACCTTTAACTTATATGACTGTTAATTATATCGTGATTAGGGAAATAAGCTTTCAATCAAAGAGTTTTGAATGCCTTATAAAATTCCGACAAGAATTTATAAATTGTAAAACAAACAAATGATTTGTCTCTGCCCATTATTGTAATAGGAGTTTTCAATGAACACTTTAACCTAGAATGACCAAGCGAGGATTTTGACAATTCAAAACTTTTCAATGAATTCCTATTTTTTTGTTTGTTTTTTTATTGATCAAACCAAGGAGGTTATATGATTTTCTAAATAAAAAAGAAATCCACGAATTACGTATCTGATTTTTTTTGTAATCAGCGAAACACGAATTTACTTATACCACGAAACATCTTTTTTTCTCTATCCACGAAAATTGTTACCCACGAAAATAAATGAATCCACAGTAAGTTATAAAGGGACATAACTAAAGAACGGTAAAAGTGACGCTACCCAAATTTGAACTTGATCTGAATTTTGTGGTAATAAGCATTGTGTGTAAGTCTCATAACATTTGGTTGAGGCTAACTTAAGTAGAGAAAAGAAACTAAAAATTCAGCAATTTTTCTATTTGTAAACACGAATAACTCTAGAACAGCTGTGTATAAGTTTTATAACATTTGGTTAAGACAAACTAAAAAATTCAGCAATTTTTATGTTTATAAAGGGACATGACTCAAGAATGGTAAAAGTGTCTCCACCAAATTTCGTACTTAATCTGTATTATGTAGTAATAAGCATTGTGTATAAGTTTCATAACATTTGGTTGAGGCAAACTAAAGTTAGAAAACTGAAACAAAAAATTTGTACTTGATCTTAGTTTTGTGGTAATGAATATTGTGTATAGGTTTCATAATGTTTGGTTGGGACAAACTTAAGTGACAGAATGGAAACTAAAAATTTTGCAATCTTTCGATTTATAAAGGGGCATAACTCAATAATGGTTAAAGTGACACTACCCAAATTCAACTTGATCTGTGTTTTATCAGTGGAAGTCAAAATTAAACATTGCATTGTATAAAGCTTTGATTGTAGTTGATTCAACTATAATCATGGACAAAGGAAGATAACTCCAATTTTAAAAATTACTTGATATTAAGAAGAAAATAAAAATTTTGCAATTTTTCCATTTATAAAGGGGCATAACTCTAGAACGGTTAAAGTGACGCCACCAAAATTCAAATTTGATCTGTGTTTTGTGGTAATAAGCATTGTGTATAAGTTTCATAACATTTAATTGAGGCAAACTCAAGTTAGAGAACGGAAACCAACTTTGGGACGTACGGACTTACGGACGTACGTACGTACAGACGGACAAGGGTAAAACTTATACCCCCTCCGCTACAGCAGGGGCATAAAAAGTGTGGAAAACTAATTTGTCGGACTGACAGACAGACAGACAGACAGACGGAGTGCAAATCCAAAGTCCCCTTCGACTTCATTGGTAGGGGACTAAAAAATCATCTGAATGTAGGGTAATTCTATTTACAGTCAACTTTAATTAAGCAGTCAATGCTTCTGTGGCCCAGTGGTGTTAGTAGTTCAACTACTGTTTTACTCTCCCGTCAACACTATTATTGTGAGTTCCAACCCCACACATGGCAGGTGCATTCAACTCCAGTCTTAATGGACTAGGATTGTCAGTTTTCCTGTAGTACAGTGGTTTCCTCCACCAATAAACAAGAGGCTCCTAAGAGCCTGAATAGCTCACCTGGAATGTTTTGTGTAGATCTTGCATCAATAATTATTTTGCTGTTTAATGTATAATGATGAGTGTTTAAACATGCCTTTAAAAGATTCTCTCCATCTATCATAGTTTCTGCAAAAAACTTAAAATATTGATAATTAAAGAACCTTTGTGAGAACACCCACATACCCCACACCCCACATTGTCACTGGGCAAACAAAATTTCCCCAGATTCCTAAGTTTAAAGTCTCATAACTCCTACAATAGTCAACTGATAAACATTTCTTGTGTATATGCACATCTACATATTATGTCCTTATTTAATCTACAATGTTTCATAAAATTATGTAGTGTAGTTTTCAGAGGATTTGTGATGACAAACGATCCAGTAGTTTATTAACACCAAAAATCATTTATAAAGGAGCATAACTCAAGAATGGTTAGAGTGACCACACCAAAATTCAAACTTGATCTGTATTTTGTGGTAATAAGCATTGTGTATAAGTATCATAACATTTGGTTGAGGCAAACTTTAGTTATGGAACGGAAACTAAAAATTTTGCAATTTTTCCATTTATAAAGGGGCATAACTCTATAACAGTTAAAGTGACGCCACCAAAATTCAAACTTAATCTGTGTTTTGTGGTTATAAGCATTGTGTGTAAGTTTCATAACATTTGCTTGAGCCAATTCAAGTTAGAGAACAGAAAACCAATTTTGGGACGTACGGAAGTACGTACATACGTACAGACAGACAAGAGTAAAACTTAATGCCCCCTCCGCTATGGCGGGGGCATAAAAACAAAAAAAATAATTATTAATAGTCTTTCAAGGGCAATAACTCCTATAAGGGATCAATTGAAGAATTTTGTCCTTAGACTTATTGGTAGATCTTACTTAACTTAGCATTTATGCTGTTTAAAATTTCTCTTTTTCTATAATTGTTTTCAAGACAACAACCAAAAACTGAGAAATTTCCTAAAAAATATCATTTCAGGGGCAGTAACTCCAAATTAATTGTCTGATTTGTCTGAAAATTTCATCTGAAGATGGATCTTGATCTGCTGATCATATCTTTCCCATGTCAGTTATGCTCTAACTGCTTTAGTGTTTGAGATATAAGCAAAAAACTGCATTTTACCCCCATGTTCTATTTTTAGCCATGACGGCCATGTTTGGTGACTGACGGAATAAAAAACACAATCTTTATACTAGATACCAAAAGGATCATTCACCAGAAGTTTGGTTGAAATTGGTTCAGTAGTTTAGAAGAGAAGAAGATCTTTGAAAAAGTTTATGACGACGACAACAAAGACGGACGCCAAGTGATGGCAATAGCTCACATGGCCCTTAGGGGCAGGTGAGCTGAAAACTAACCACCACAATATAGCCAATAGTGTAGAAAGTGATGGTAAAACACCATTAATCTATCAATCAATATTAAGCAGTCACTCATGGGGAATAAGTATGCTCACAATAGAAGTCCCCTGTCACATGTTTAACTTATATGAAAAAGTATCTTACTCTTTTGCTGTATGGTTTTGATTTTTGCACTCTTTCATCAGAAGCAGAAGACACCTGAATATCTTCTGTAGAGGTTACTACGGCAATGGGTGATTCAGGTTGGTTTGGTGATGGATATGATGACAAGGAATCTCCTCTTCCAGAAAATGATGGTGGATCCTGTGGTCTTTCATGCAAATCCATCATTATATTCTCAAAATAATCTTGGCTCTCCTGATCCATCGGAAAATCTGTAAGATTAAAAGGGACCTATTCAATGTCAATAATTTATGTTTAATACTTAAAATTGTGACATTTTCCTGTGAACTAGCGTCTTAGTCTATTTTCATTCAAAGATTATTTCATCGCTCCTGTTTTGGACTGCACAGCTGTAGCAATTCTTTTTTAAATATTAAGATAAATACTCAGATGGATGGCACCTCACTGGAAAGGCAGAACAATAAATAGCTATATTAAAAAAAAAAAAAGCAAAGCCTTTGATCAAACATTAAGTACTGTTGCAATATCAAGACAAAATTGTGAAATTAAAAATTCAAAAGATATAATTTTTATCTTTTCTTAAGATCGGAATAGAATTGATGATTAAGCAGATCTGTGTCAACAATAATTTTTATTACTTTGTCATAACACGTTTACTTCATAATTATTATCTGATCATTGGATAAAGGGAATCCTAAAATGTTTTAAATCTACAAATTTATTATATAACTTTAGCTTCAAGAGGGGCTGAAATTTCTTCCTCCATATCAGAGTCGCCAAAATTATATTTCATTCTTAGACAGCACTGCTTCTGAAATTTTGGTAAGATGTTTTCACAATTCAAAAAAATCTATACTTCATGGTATATCATTAGCAAAAAAAATTCTTTAATGATAGGAGAGAAAAATCTTCATCAGGTCCTCTTTTTATAACAGCAACATGCGACATATTTCATGGTCTTTTTCCTAAACAGATATGATTCCTTTTCTCAGGGGTTTGAAGTTTATGAATCATCAAACAAAAAACACTTTTTAAACAGTCTTAAATAAATGGACAGTTATAGACTAGGGACCATTTTAAATTTCCTTGATAGTGTCCAGTATATGTTTTAAATTATTGCAAACAAACCAGGCCTTTGATTATTAAAAAAAAAATCAGTACCAGTATTTTAATCTATCATTAAAACTCTTAATTCTAAACTGTTTAATTGACCTCTGCTATAATTGAAGAGAAATGATATTGGATATGGTTAATCAATTCTTGACACAAAATCACTACATGCACATGAAATAAACAAAACCAAAAGGAACAGTGCTTTTATTGCTGTTCTCATAAATGGTCTCAAAGCCACAGTGAGGCCTTCAACATGGAGCAAAAGCTCTCACCTCACTGAAAGTTCAAGACAGCTCCTAGCACCAGTTTTGAGTGAAAATATTTACTAGATGTTACATCACATTCCTTATTTGCATAGCTTCAGAGTAATACCAACAAATCATAAGTCAATGAAATCAAGTCTCACACATTGTATTTGGTTTATTATTATTAAGCTCAAATCAGGCCATAGATTTTTCTCTTTTCTATTTTTCAAATTTTGTTTACTGCAGACCTTTTAAATTTATAGCTAACTATGTGGTTTGGCTTTTCTTTTAGTTCAAGGCCTATGTTGATTTCCATTAACATCCTTGTCCTAATAGTTAGTCTTTTGTGGCTTATTGTCTCATTGGCAATCATAACTGGTCCCTTTAATTTTAAGATATGATAAGAACCATTATTTAGCCACTGAAATTGCAAGAATAGTAAAATTCTTCAATTCTTTGAATTGATAATCACCTTTTCTTTATAAACCTTAAACCAAAACTTTAACCTTATCCAGGAAGAGCTATTACTGATAGAAGGAAGCACAGCTCTAAAGAGCCTGTGTCGTTCACCTAGGTCTATGTGCATAATCAACAATGGACTCTCTCCAACATTAATTGTAGACAAGTATAGAATTCATGACAAAAATTTCTTTTTTTTTTTATCTTGTATTACTGATCATTTAGTCTGTTTAGTTTCTCTCTATCTTCTTTCGTTCTTGGTCAAAACACAAAAGAGGGTACAAAAATCTTCCTTTAAGGGCAATCACTCCTATGAAGAGTGACAGTCTACCAACTATATCGGCAAAATTTGACTTTTTACGGGAGGTATTATGGTATACAAATGTCCGCTGTCTGTCTGTCTCTGTCTCTGTCTGTCTGTCTGTCTGTCTGTCTGTCTGTCTGTCTGTCTGTCTGTCTGTCTGTCCGGCATCCACATGTCGCACCGTAACTTGAGAACGACTTATCCAAATTTCATGAAACTTAACATAGTTGTTTCTTGTGATGGTCAAACGATCTGTATACTTTTTGGTGAAAATAAGATTAAAACTTTTTGAGTTACAGGACTTGGTAACTAAAACAGGGGGTGTTTTTTTCACAAGTCGTGCCATATCTCAAAAATGATTTACGATTATTGCTTAAAACTTTACATACTTCTTAGCGATATTAATCTAAAGATCTGTATACTTTTTGGTGATGATTCAAAATTTAATTTTAGAGTTATTGAGTTTTTTGTAAAAAAAAAAAGGGGGGGTGTGGGGTTTTCACATGTCGTGCTGTATCTCAAAAACTATTTATGATTATTGCTTTAAACTTTACACACTTTTTAATTATATTAATCTTAAGATCTGTATACTTTTTGGTGATGATTCAAAATTCTATTTTAGAGTTATTGATTTTTTTATAAAAAAAAGGGGGGTTTTCACATGTCACGCCGTATCTCAGAAACGATTTATGATTATTGCATAAACCTCACACACAAGACGACGGGCGTATCATGCGCTCGTGGCGCAGCTGTTTATTATGTGGATCTTGCCTTGCTGATCATTTTTGTTAAAGTTTCTATTTATCTGTTATAATTTTTATCATACAAGGCAAAAAGCAAACAAATTGGTAAAAATTGTCATTAAAGGGCATGATATTTTATAGTGTGTCTTTCTATGTTGTGATTTTACACTATTGTTTCAGGTAGGGTGAAGGTTGGCACCTATTAAAAGGTTTAAACCCACTGCATTTGTTTGCACCTGTCCTAAGTCAGAAACCTGATGTTCAGTGGTTGTCGTTTATTGATGTGGTTCATAAGTGTTTCTTGTTTTTTATATAGATTAGACCGTTGGTTTTCCTGTTTGAAGGGTTTTGCACTAGTCATTTTGGGGCCCTTTATAGCTTGCTGTTCGGTGTGAGCCAAGGCTCCGTGTTGAAGTCGCCTGACAGTTTAGACTTCAAGTACAACTGGTAGAGCTCAACATTCTGAACATTAGTGCCCCGTCAGATTTTCTCTATTTATAGCAGTTTTCGAAATACTGAATTCAGGCTTGTATAGTCCGCAGTTTTATTCTCCAAAATTGAACCTGCCAGATAGGGGTGCTGATTATAGATTACAATAAGCAAGAAATAAGAGAAAAATTCAATTTCACGAGGTTTATTTACGTTCCGCCATGTTTGTTATTGAAATTGTAGAGGGCGCTCTTATCATTTTCAAGACTAATAATTTACCTAATCCATATCTAAATATGCAATTTTAAGTAAATATCAAATATAAACTGATAAATTTTAAAATTAAATGCTTCATACCAAATTTCTAGTTTCTGTTCACTGCATTGCATTTAATAAACTGGAATCTGCTTGAATTTAACGGAACGAAAAAAGTGTATAAGTCAGTCGGGAACCAGCTTAAGCATAAAGATGTATAAACTATAAAACGTAATCTGTTATTCGTTCCATTTTGATGTTTCATACTGACGCATGTGTCTTTTTTTAGCTTAAGATCCTTCAACATTAATGTGATGGATATGTTAAACATTATTTTACTTAAGGATGGAACTGTTTTACTTTCAAAGTCGTAATTTATTGTTGTCTATTAAGTACAGTTTTCTGTACACTCTCAATGTAGTTATTTTTATTTACACGTGCTATTCGAACTTCCGGTTTAAACAAATACAAGTTTCTTAATTCTCTTTTTTTGTGATTTTGACTTATTTTAACACTTGTGAAGTGTTTTAGAATCGTTTAAAAGCATTCGATGCAAATACCGTAAACAATCACACACGATTAGAAATTACCAGAGTTTCATCAGATGTTTCGAATAGTTAAAAATTTTTTTTACCTTAATTCTCGTGGCAAGAAGAGGGGGTGCAGACAATGTACCAGTGCGAACTATACAAAGCCAATTAGGGTTATAGAAATAACTTCCATTTTACCCCTATGTTCTATTTCTAAGTCATGTCGGCCATCTTGGTTGGCAGTCGGGGTCATCGGACACATTCTTTAAACTAGATACCCCAATGATGATTATTGCCATTTTTGGTTAAATTTGGTCCAGTTGTTTCAGAGGGGAAGATTTTTTCAGGTGAGCTAAAAAGTGTACATTTCTATGATGTACTGTACATGTATAGTGTATGTGTAACAAAAAATTTGTTCCGGCGGGACATTTGTTCCGCCGGAACAAATTTCATAGGAAATATGTTCCACTGGAATTTATATCACAGAAAATATGTTCCAGCACTGTAAAATTTGTTCCGGAACTAATTTTTTGGCCAAATGTGAAATAAGTTCCCGGTACAAAAATAATAGCTCCATGAATTTTGTTTCAATTAATATTAAAAAGTTTTAAATAAGTTCCTGTGACATTAGTTTTAAACGAACATGTAAATATTTCATAGAAACTAATGAATAAGTTCTGCTCAATCATTATTGCACACCAAAACATTTTCTTGTTACACTTAAATTATAATGCAAGCTAAATGCTGTACTGAGTGTACTTGCATGGGATACATTTGCAATTGAAGGCATGACTGTAACTATAGGATGAAGATAAGAAATAAAAGTGATGGTAATGTATCATAATTTGTATTTATGTTTTATGCGGTATTCCTCCTTGGTTCCTGTTAACTGTCACGGCCCTGTGTTCTAGTCATAGATGTACTTAGGACATGGCACAGTTTCAAAAGAGTGTGTCTTTTTTTTTCTGCATGTCTTTTGATATTTATAAATGATCAAGTCAATTTGTCCTTTTCAAATTAGTACATATGTTCCTCTTAAACTATACATTTTTTCTGAATGATTTTTCTTATTCTAATCTTTTCTGGTTCAAAAGTGTCATTTAGATATTTTTTACAGAGTATATAATTAAACATTTGCTATACTCAATAGGATCCAAACTGGATGATTTACACTTTTTATCTATTATATTATTAATATAATACTTATTTTTATAATGCACTTGAATGATAACTTTAAACTCACTGATGACAAATGCTCAGTATATAAGATATAGATATAAGAAGATGTGGTATGAGTGCCAATGAGACAACTCTCCATCCAAGTCAAAATTTATAAAAGTAAACCATTATAGGATAACTTGTTTAACAAGTGGAACATATTTCACAGACAAGGAACTTATTTCACCAGGTGAGGAACAAATCTCACAAACTCAGAACTTATTTCAACAGGTAAGGAACAAATCTCATAAACCTGGAACTTATTTTACTAGGTAAGGAACAAATTTCACCAACCCGGTACTTATTTCACCAGGTAAAGTGGGGAACTTATTTTATAGAGATGGAATAAATTATATAGAAATTACCTGTGAAAAAAGTTCTCCCAGAACATATTTCCTGTGATACTTGAACTTTTTTCACAGGAACAAATTTTGGATCACATATGAATAACACATGGCACTCATGTATACTGTACATGTATATTGTATGAATAACACATGGCACTCATGTATTGCACATGTATAGTGTATGAATAAAACATGGCACCCATATGTACTGTACATGTATCATGTATGAATATCTCATGACACGCATATGTACTGTATATGTATCATGTATGAATATCTCATGGCACTCATATGTATTGTACATGTATAGTGTATGAATAACACATGGCACTCATATGTGAAAGTTTTTCTGTTATGATAATGGAAAAGGAGGAATATGGTGTATTAATTCATAAAAAAAATTGCAACCCACAATTAAATAAAATGCTCCGCAGGGCGCAGCTTGATACGACCGCAGAGGTCGAACCCTGAACAGTTGGGGCAAGTATGGACACAACATTCAAGCTTGATACAGCTCTGAATTTGGATTGTGATTTAATATTTGACACAGCATAGGTTTCTGACACAGAATGAATGTGGTCTAAGAACTTAAAATTTTTTAAATTGGACATTCACCTATTATGGTCCAATATCCAAAATCTAAATGCATGGTTAGATTCAGCATATCAAAGAACCCCAAGAATTCAATTTTTGATGAAATCAAACAAAGTTTAATTTTGGACCCTTTTGACCTCAATGTGGACAAAGTTGATAATGGGGCCCAAAAATCAAAAATCTAAATACATGGTTAGATTCAGCATATCAAAGAACCCCATATATTCAATTTTTGTTGAAATCAAACAAAGTTTAATTTTGGACCCTGATTTGGACCAACTTGAAAACTGGGCCCATAATCAAAAATCTAAATACATGTTTAGATTCAGCATATCAAAGAACCCTAAGAATTCAATTTTTGTTAAAATCAAACTAAGTTTAATTTTGGACCCTTTGGACCTTAATGTAGACCAATTTGAAAACGGAACCAAAAATTAAGAATCTAAATACACGGTTAGATTCGGCATATCAAAGAACCCCAATAATTCAATTTTTGATGAAATCAAACAAAGTTTAATTTTGGACCCTTTGGACCTAAATGTGGACCAATTTAAAAATGGGGCCCAAAATCCAAAAACTTAATACACGGTTAGAATCAGCATATTAAAGAACCCCAAGAATTCAAGAATAAAACCCCATTGAAATTGGTCAAGAAATAAGCAATTTATACGAAGTATCTTCTTTTGCACAATACTGTGCAATTGAATATTTCTTGCTATTGCGCAATACTGTACAATTGACAATTTCTTGCTATTGCGCAATATTGTGCTATTGGATATTTCTTGCTATTGCACAATACTGTGCAATTGAAGATTTCTTGCTATTGCGCAATACTGTGCAATTGAAGATTTCTTGCTATTGTGCAATACTGTGCAATTGAAAATTTCTTGCTATTGCACAATACTTATTATATAATAATTTACACATCCTGTTTGGTGTGTATCTCCTACCATATCATTATTATTTGCTTTTAAATATAAAACAGAAATAACCAACTTAAAATGGAAAATTTTAAAAGAAAAAAAAAGGAAAAAAAGAAAAAAAAGGAAAACAAAAAATCCCCCCCCCCCCCCAATTTTTTGAACCCCCTTATGATTCATCACCCCAAATTCAATCCCAGCCTTCCCTTTGTGGTATGGTACCTTGCAGTACAATTTCAGAGAGATCCATACACTTGAACACAAGTTATTGTCTGGAAACTAGAAAAATGCTTATTTTTGGCCCCTTTTTGGCCCCTTATTCCTAAACGTTTTGGGCAATTACCCCCAAACTCAATTCCAGCTTTCCCTTTGTGATATGGAACCTTGTAGTACAATTTCAGAAAGATCCATACACTTACACACAAGTTATTATCATGAAACTAGAAAAATGCTTGTTTTTTGCCCCTTTTTTGGCCCCTAATTCCTAATATTTTGAGGCAATTACCCCCAAAATCAATCCCAGCATTCCCTGTGTGATATGGAACCTTGTGGTATAATTTCAGAGAAATCCATACACTTGAACACAAGTTATTGTCTGGAAACTAGAAAAATGCTTATTTGTGGCCCCTTTTAGGCCCCTTATTCCTAAACGTTTAGGGCAATTACCCCCAAACTCAATTCTAGCTTTCCCTTTGTGATATGGAACCTTGTAGTACAATTTCAGAAAGATCCATACACTTACACACAAGTTATTGTCATGAAACTAGAAAAATGCTTGTTTTTTGCCCCTTTTTGGCCCCTAATTCCTAATATTTTGAGGCAATTACCCCCAAAATCAATCCCAGCATTCCCTGTGTGATATGGAACCTTGTGGTACAATGTCAGAGAGATCCATACACTAACACACAAGTTATATCTGGAAGTTACAAAAATGCTTATTTTTGGCCCCTTTTTCCTTAACTGTTCGTACCATAAGCCCCAAAATCAATCCCAACCTTCCTTTTGTGGTATTGAACCTTATGGTAAAATTTCATAGAGATCCATTCACTTAAACTAAAGTTAGAGTGCGAAAACCAATGTGTCTTCGGACGACGACGACGACGCCAACGTCATACCAATATACGATCGCAAAAATTTTTGCGGTCGTATAAAAAATAAAACGCAAAGAAAAGTCATTTGCATATAATATATCATATTTCCCAGAAATATGATTTCAAATATCAAAACATATTATTTATTGCACCCTCTAATGCCTTATAGCACTACCATAAATCTATACAAATGCTGATTTGTGAAAATGAATTTTTAAGTTGGTTCAAGGAATTGTTTTAAAATAAAAGCTTTACTTTAAATTTGACTAAATCTAAAGTACTATTTGGGACAAATTTGCATCATTCTATAAGAACCAGCGAAAAATAGATTAACTTTACATATGCTTATACATTAAATTCAAGCCTGATACACTTACTTCCATTTAAAAACTTAAACATTCAAAATCCAAAGAAATCCTTTACAGGTGAAAAAATTATCTAAAATTTGAAATTGAAAATTTTTCCCAATATCAAGTTTTTAAAAAGACATTTCTAAAAGAGGCTTTCAGTTTTTTAAACAGGAAAGACAAAATTCTTATTATCCTGAATGACTGCAACAGGACCATCTGATCTAAAGTTTAAAGAAATATGGTGTTAAATTACACAAAATATAAATATTGTTATATTTTGAATAATTTTCAATATCTGTTTATACATTCATTGATTAAGGTTAAATAATGATTATTGTTTTTACATTATCATTTTGGTTGTAAATAACAGGTGGTTTTAATTTTTTTTTTTTTTTTGCAGTGGTAGTTTTAATTTGACTGCAATACAGGTGTGGATCAAGGATTTTGAAAAAAGAGTTTGGAGTGATACTTGTAAAAAGTCTATGCATTTATCATATATGAGGCACAATAAGAGGGGGCCGGGGCAGAGCACCTGACCCCCCTCCTGCTATATTTAATTATTTCACAGTTATACTACTGATACATTATTTTGGGACAGTTTTAAACGATTTTTATATAAATTCATATTCCATAAATATATACTTTTACAATATTATTAATTCAAAGGTGAAGAATTCTTGCAGATAATATTTAAAATAGACTACTATTTTTAACAAGCTAGACAGACTGTCAGAGAAATTAAATATATAGGCCTATATATAAAGTTATGCTTTAGTGATTTTGTTATGCAACTTTTATATATTCAAGTGCAAGAAAGTGATGATCAAAAACAGGGTCAAAATACAGTAGGTAAGAGTGAAAAATAATGATGTATTTGACATGACATTAAATCAATTTAATACTATGGTACAAGAAGGTTGTCATTATATGGGTTAGATTTCCAGCCAGTGTTTCATTAAACCCCCCCCCCCTTCTTTAATTCTATTCCTTTCAATCACTTATTGATTTTACATTATAATGTTTGTCTGTAATGAACTCTGCAGGGTTATTTATGTATATGCATCAGTACAGTATTTAACAAAGAAAAGATCAAAGAAAAACAGTTATCTGGCTTTGAAGTAATTATTATGAGAAAAGAAATCACTCAAAAAAGCCATGTGTCAAAGATTAACAAATTATTTTCAGCCAATCATGTCTTACAAATTCAAGGTCCTTTCTATCACTTCCTCCTTCTATATTGCCCCCCTTTTCCCCCTCCATTTTATTCCCCACAACAATTCCTTTACTACTAATATATAATGAGACTAGATGTTATTGTTGAAGTCTTCTTTGATTCATTTCTTGTTCATAGACCTGAAAACATTTTACAAGGACATATTAGCACTTATTTACTCCATTGTCCCATCAATCAATAACTGACCTCATTTCTCATGTAAAAAACATGTTTGAGATCTTCCCTCATGTCATCAAATATTATTTTTAGCCAGAAAGGTAAACTAGCGAACAGTTATGTTTTGTTTCATATAAATACAGATGTTAGGGTGACATGACACAAGTAGTAGGTCATCTTGACCAAAGTGACACAACCTGTGAAAAGGGGAATTTATTAATCCAGAAACACATATGATACAATATGTCTCTGATTAAACTACTCATCCTGCAGACATTACAACCTTCTTTATTATGTCAAATTTTTAAATATGTTATACAAGTTATAGATGTTGAGATGATATCGTTGACCAATGTTCAATGACATGACATATAAAAACGGGAATAAAAGGGGAATAATCAATCAAGAGAGTATTTTTAATGAGCAAAATATTCTCAATTGTGGAGATCCTGTATATTTTTCTCCCATGTTTTTTGTCCATTTTTTAAGGGTTCTATAACCGTTACTCCTATTGTAGCTTTTGGTAAGATGATCCTGCAAGGTTTCTATGTCCTCGGCAACACGGTGAGATGTCGGGTAGATGTCTGAATGAAACAGTATAACCAACAACACATCACATCAACTTTATAAACTGATTATAAGTAATATGCAAAGGAAATATTTTAAAAATAAGGATATGTAATAGGATTGCCAATGAGATAGTACTATCAACCTAAAACCATATCGACAAAGAATAAAAACAGCTTCAGGTCACTGTTTGGTCTTCAACAATGAGATCTGAGTATTCTTGTGCAGACTGATAGAACAAGATGTACTCATCCATTATCCTCCCACCCCCTGTAATTTTAACAATATGTCCTCCCACCCCCAGTAATTTTAACAATATGTCCTCCCACCCCCTGTAATTTTAACAATATGTGTTTTTGGATAAAGTGGAATTAAAACATGGCTCACTTTTTGTTACATTTCAATAGTGATTATCACAGAAAATTCCCATGTTTTATTTTTTTCCATGTGTGTCATATCATTGTACCCTGCACTAGGCATTACCTTTCTGAAAAAAATGTCTAATATATTAACATGGCGCATTGCACTTATAGGCATTAGCTTTTGAAAAAACAGGAGTGTCATTTAACTTGGTACCCTGCACTAGACATTGGCTCTTAAGAACCTATGTGTCATTTAACATGGTATCCTGCACTAGGCATTGCCTCTTAAGAACCTATGTGTCATTTAACATGGTACCCTGCACAAGGCATTGGCTTTTAAGAACAACATGGTACCCTGCACTAGGCATTGGCTTTTATGAACAACATGGTACCCTGCACTAGGCATTGGCTTTTAAGAACAACATGGTACCCTGCACAAGACATTGGCTTTTATGAACAACATGGTACCCTGCACAAGGCATTGGCTTTTAAGAACTAGAGGCTCTAAAGAGCCTGTGTCGCTCACCTTGGTCTATGTGCATATTAAACAATGGACACAGATGGATTCATGACAAAATTGTGTTTTGGTGATGGTGATGTGTTTGTAGATCTTACTTTACTGAACATTCTTGCTCCTTACTATTATCTCTATCTATAATGAACTTGGCCCAGTAGTTACAGTGGAAAATATTTTGTAAAAATTTACAAAAATTTACAAAATTTATGACAATTGTAAAAAATTGACTATAAAGGGCAATAACTCCTTAAGGGGTCAATTGACAATTTTGGTCATGTTGACTTATTTGTAGATCTAACTTTGCTGTACATTATTGCTGTTTACAGTTTATCTCTATCTATAATAATATTCAAGATAATAACCAAAAGCTGCAAAATTTTCTTAAAATTACCAATTCAGGGGCAGCAACCCAACAACATGTTGCCTGATTGGTCTGAAAATTTCAGGGCAGATAGATCTTGACCTAATGAACAATTTTATACCATCAGATATGCTCTAAATGCTTTGGTTTCAGAGATATGAGCCAAAAACTGCATTTTACCCTATGTATTTGTTTTTTGCCATGTCGGCCATCTTGGTTTGCTGGCAGGGTCATCGAACACATTTTTTAAACTAGATACCCTAATGATGATTGTGGACAATTTTGGTTAAATTCGTCTTAGTAGTTTCAGAGGAGAAGATTTTTGTAAAAGATTACAAAAATTTACGAAAAATGGTTAAAAATTGACTATAAAGGGCAATAACTCCTTAAGGGGTCAACTGACCATTTTGATCAAGTTGACTTATTTGTAGATCTTACTTTGCTGAACATTATTGCTGTTTACAGTTTATCTCTATCTATAATAATATTTAAGATAATAACCAAAAACGGCAAAATTTCCTTAAAATTACCAATTCAGGGGCAGCAACCCAACAACGGGTTGTCCGATTCATCTGAAAATTTCAGGGCAGATAGATCTTGACCTGATAAACAATTTTACCCATGTCAGATTTGCTCTAAATGCTTTGGTTTCAGAGATATAAGCCAAAATCTACATTTTACCCCTATGTTCTATTTTTAGCCATGGTGGCCATCTTGGTTGGTTGGCGGGGTCATCGGACACATTTTGTAAACTAAATACCCCAATGATGATTGTGGCCAAGTTTGGTCAAATTTGGCCCAGTAGTTTCAGAGGAGAAGATTTTTGTAAAAGTTGACGGACGACGGACGACGGACGCAGAACGAAGGACGCAAAGTGATGAGAAAAGCTCACTTGACCTTTCAGGTCAGGTGAGCTAAAAACATGGTACTCTGCTCTAGGCATTGGCTCTTAAGAACCTATGTGTCATTTAACATGGTACCCTGCACTAGGCATTGGCTTTTAAGAACAACATGGTACCATGCTCTAGGCATTGGCTTTTAAGAAGAACATGGTACCCTGCTCTAGGCATTGGCTTTTAATAAAAACATGGTACTCTGCACAAGGCATTGGCTTTTAAGAACAACATGGTACCATGCTCTAGGCATTGGCTTTTAAGAAGAACATGGTACCCTGCTCTAGGCATTGGCTTTTAAGAAAAACATGGTACTCTGCACTAGGCATTGGCTTTTAAGAACAACATGGTACCATGCTCTAGGCATTGGCTTTTAAGAACAACATGGTACCCTGCTCTAGGCATTGGCTTTTAAGAACAACATGGTCACCTGCACAAGGCATTGACTTTTAAGAACAACATGGTACCCTGCACAAGGCATTAGCTTTTTAGAACCTGTGTGTCAATTAACATGGAACCCTGCATTAGGCATTCACTTAAAAAAAGTGTGGTATTCAACATGCTATCTTGCACTAGCATTAGCTCTTAACATTTGACAAGGTACATTACACTACCCATTAGACATTTTTTTAATGTGTGTCATTTAACATGGTGCATTGCACTAGGCATTGCTTTTTAAAAAGCTGTGTCATATAACATGGAACACTGAACCACTAATTTGATTTAAAAAAAAACATATTGTGAACTACATCAAATCAGTAGGTCTTTTCACTAAATTTTGTAATAATACAATTAAAATATATTTGCTCAAGGAGAGGGCAGAATTTGAGACACATAAATGGCTTTACTGGTAAAAAAAAATTCTCTATACCGGTTTTGGCTGTATGTTCTTTTAAAAATCAGCCTTTGTTCTACTAATTGGGTACATTATGGCACTATGTCATTTAAAAAAAAAGTCAAATTGTGTTATTAAGACTAACCTCATTTTTTCCATTTTACAAAGACCTCATATCTATTTAGCAGGTTAAAATGTCACCAATAATATTATCCAATTTTGTTTATTTCCATAAGTAAACAGTGCCAAAAAAGCAAGATATCTGTCTTGTCCTTTTATATAAAAATAACTGCATTATCAAAATTTGTATAGAAAATGAAAGGATATGGAGTAAATGTACATTGGACAAAATCGCACACAATACATAGAAAACATAGAAAATTATCAATGAACAGGGTTTTTATTCCTGTTCTTCATCTTGACAGTTGATGTAGGGTCTTCAACAATGAATGAATCATTCATATACATATAAGTAACACTATTTATCAGTTAAAGACGTAATAACTATCTGTCTCATTGTGCTTTGTAGAAACAGCTGCTGATCAGTAAGATTATTCAAAGTTTACATCTCATTCATCAAAGCTGTCCATCATTACAGTTGCTTGATTTCACTTATAAGTCAGTTTCCCTTTCTGGATCACCAATTTTACTCCCAGAATTCTAACTTATACAACAGTACTCGAGTTATGCTAAAATACAAATATGAGAGGTCCCAAATGAAAATCAGTTTTCTTGGATTTTATCCTTCTTCACAAGAAACTATTTATTGCCATTTATTGGCCTATGTTTTGTTATGGGCATCAATCTACTTAAATTGAACAAAGTCTTGCTATATGTCAGAGACACCTTATTTTGGACAAAACTACATCATTTAATATCTATAAAAAAAATTTGATAATTAATGAAAGTATGCTCAAATTTTATGAGGAGACTTCATGTTAGAGTTGCATGTTTCTGATTTGTTTTTCTTGATCAGTTGTGGCGACCTTTGCTAGCTTCCTGTAGTAGACCAGGACATTTTGACCCTGCTTTCCAAAGTAGGTCCCATCTATTATTTACTTGTTCAAGTTGGTGTTCATCTTGTTAACACAGCTGTGAAGATTTTGTTTTGTGTGTTTTACTTTAAGGGCCTAGATAGGAAAAGTAGGTGTGTACATAAATAAAACAGGAGGTGTGTACACAAATAAAACAGGTGTAAGCTTACCTCATGTTTGTGTCTGTACCAAGTCAGGTAGTTTTAACCATTTGCATGTACCAAGTCAGGTAGTTTTAACCATGTGCCTGTACCAAGTCAGGTAGTTTTAACCATGTGCCTGTACCAAGTCAGTTAGTTTTAACCATGTGCCTGCACCAAGTCAGATAGTTTTAACCATGTGCCTGTACCAAGTCAGGTAGTTTTAACCATGTGCCTGTACCAAATCTGGTAATTTTAACCATGTGCCTGTACTAAGTCAGTTAGTTTTAACCATGTGCCTGTACCAAGTCAGTCAGTTTTAACCATGTGCCTGTACCAAGTCAGGTAGTTTTAACCATGTGCTGTTCCATGTTGACTTTGTTTGTACATCTAGGCAGAGTGACATGTTGGAGGTGTTTGTGGATTATTGTACTTTCCACTATTTTTGGTAGTTTTGTTGTACTTTGATGTCTTTTAAAAGTATTTTATATGCTGACAATGAAACCATGTCTTCATACAATCTCAATATTAAGCAAATATGTTTTTCTATAAAGTTGTCAAAATATAATGCAAGAAAAATATGGTGCTGTGTATGGCACACTTGTCCATGTTGTCTGACAAATTAGAAGTTTATGATGTTGTTTTTTCACTGATAATCAAAGGTTCCAACATTTCATTCACAAACAAGGACTGTGTACTCTACTTACATTTCTAATAAAGCACTGATAAGACAAAAGTTTGATAACCACCACATGCACTGTTATAATGCGTGATACATTTAAACATTTTGAGCTAAATATATTCAACATTTCCTTACATTAAATTAACTTGAAAGTTATAGGACCAAAACATTAAATAAAAACCAACTTAAGTACTGAATCAAAAATTCCCAAGAAATCATAAAGTTAATTCTAAAACAAATAACAGATAAATAAAAACCTTACCTGGTGAAGATGAATTATATAAACTATTCTGACCAAAGTCCACTGGTAACATGTAGCTAACCATTATTTTGGATAATTTCTGGTTTCGGTCAAAATCATGTCGCATCCAGCTTGGTTTATGTCAGTGTGACTTAATAAAGGAACAGACTGACATTTGCTAGTTTTCTGAAATAGACTATAGTTAATATTTACTAAGCTCCACCTACATCTCTTTAGTTTATTAACCTTAACAAATATTAGTGTTTACACTACAAATAATGTCAGTAGAAAAACAATGATCACTTTAACTTCAAAACCAAATAGATATTTTTTTACTTCTATTTATATCAATGCTTATTTCTGCCTTATTGATTTGTTACTATGCAAGTAAACAGAAAAAAGGGGGGGTTACATATTCCCCTCTGACAGTAATTTATATACTACATGAAACCAGAACTATATAATACAATGATATGTATCTCTAATGAGTGTGTAAAATGCCAATAATTCAATCATCTACCTGTTTTAATTGACTTATCAGAAGTTAAAATTTCTCATTGATACGTTATTTAGGTCATGTTAAACAGGTCATATCAGGTGAATGTCCAGGTAATTTAAGGCCAGATCACTTTATGGGTCATTATCCTTCACTGAATGTTCATGCCTCTATCAGCTGACTACACATTTAGCTAATTGACAATAAATGTTAAACCACTGGAAGAAAGGTTCTTAATTTTTCTGGTAGATAAGGCATCTCAGTTTTAGAGAAAATTCTTAATTCATACAATCATTTTCAATCTTAAATTATATTATCATTTAAAAATTCCAAACAAGAAGCAAGCCAAAAAATTATGGGTTGATTTAAATTCCAAGTCTATTTTCAGTAACTAGTTCTGATGTTTTCAACTGTTTCTTTAAATGCTTAAGTACAAATAAATAAGGTTATGAATTTTTTATTGTGTTTTTTATGTTGTTGTTAATGTTTGTATGTATTCGGTTAAAAGCTCTGTAGAGCTTATATTTTTTAGTTGATAACTATACCAAATCTAAATAAAGCTTTTGTATCATATCGTTGTCATTTGTGTCTGTAATCAATGGTATGTACTTCAAAGCCAATATTCTTTCATATTCTCGATTTCTATCCCTGGCAGTTTTTATTTTAGCGGATTCATAACTTCCAATTAAATATTTTGGAGGATACTGAATTTGTTGCAGTTAAAAAGGTGTAAAAATTGACAAAGAAAACAAGGAAACATACCTTTGCTATAGTTCTGTATAAATACAGGATATTAAAAGAAATAATTATTTTAATAGTAAACAAAATTACATATGGATAATAAAAACAATATTTGAGGTAAAACACATGTTTTGAATTGTCAAATATTTACAAAAGGTTGAAAATTTACTTGTCTTGTTACATTTTTATTTTAGTAGAAGTACATCTTCAATATAATCAAATTGTGAGCGAGTATCTTTATTGTCATTCATTCAAACAAGTGTCGATTGTTATGGTTAAAGGATTTTTTTACTTAAATGAATCTCATTTATTGGTTATAATCTGATACAGTTAATAAGTTATGAAATTGACTAGATCTTTGATGTACTAGTTAAGTCATAAAATTATCAAGAGTGACTTACAACTCTTATATAATTTGACACTAATTAATAAGGGTAAAAAACATGAAAAGTACCTTACACTCTTATATTATTTACCGTTATTGACCTGCGGACAACAACAAAAAGAAAATATAGATCGACCACAAAATGCTTAAACTATTAGTATACATTAATTTTAGCGATTTTCATTTATCCACCAAAATAAGTGAAAATAAACACCCCGCGAAAATAACCCGCTGAACAGTAATGGGCCCCAAAATCTGTTGTCCTACATGACATAATGCCACCAACTTCCATTCTAATTTAATCAACTCCTCATGAATACACCAAAACTTACTTGCCATATTGTTAACATATCATGAGATAATTCAAAATCTGCTTTGGAACTTGATAATTTTAAGGTTTGATTTACTAAGTATTTATAGTTTCAATCTGTTGAATCATTGATGTTTTCTTCATATAACATGCTCCTGACTTTAATGGGTCCATGACTTAAAATAAAATACCTCTTTTTCTTCTACTTATACTTCTTAAAATTCCAAACATGAACAATGTTACTAACTTTTCCATGTAACTTCAAATCAAACAGGTTTTCCATTTTCTAAAGATAAAATCATAATATAATTAAATTTTCATTTTTAGGTTTATCAATGATTTAGAGCAGAAACAGTTAATTACTACAAAGATATCTAAATACAAAAACTGCAGCATAAACAAAGATTGACAGAAAAACAAACAAAAATAAAGAACTTGGCATTTTTGGATACCCCCAATAGGGCCCCTTATTTCTCATAAATGCAGCCTCAAATCTATTGACAATATAGGATTTTTTATAAAGAATAATAAGGATAAAGGTACATCAAAATCTGTAAAAATAACAACAGACATTTGCTGGACACAATTCATAAAATTAAAACCAGAAAAACAGGAACTCTGTATTAATATGATTAACATTAGGAATGATTATATTCAACTTTAACTCAATTGAGAAAAAAATAAAACCATTAATCAGTCAGGGGTTACATAATGACTTAAACAAGTGATTGCATTATCACCTATTTTAGTGATTTGAAAATTTCAGTCAATCACTTATAAATTCAAGTGATTTTGGTGTTTCCTTTGATCTTCAAATGCTAGTTTCATTAATCTTCTATAAAATAACAAATATTTCTGTAATTTTCATACATAGACCAATTATTCCTTTCTCTTGTATATTAATTTCATCAGTGCGCTTGGGCAGTAAGTATCCTTGGGAATTTTTCTGTAATCAAATATTCATTACCTAACTACTCTCTTAAGCAACCTGAATGGTCTTCTTTATAATACACTTAAAATGATCAACTTCAAGGTTTTGTCCTGATCTACAAATTATATCAGTTTATGCATATTTCAAATAAACTGTAAAAACTTACAGGCTCAACGAGCAAATGATAATTTCTGCATGTATATAGTTGTTATTTAAAATATTATATTAACATATTTTTAATATAATATTTTCAATGTACTCTAATACAAAATGTAGAATTAAATTTTCTAATGGTCTTAGCCCATCATTTGAATCAAACTGTGGTGTTAAACAAGGAGATGTATTGAGTCCTCTTCTTTTTTATTTTTTTATAAATGACATATCTAAAGACTTGGAAAATATCAATGCAGATCCAGTTGTAGTTGGTGATGTTTCATTAAATGCTCTGTTGTATGCCGATGATATTGTATTATTTTCAGATAGCAAAGAGGGTTTGCAAAATTGTCTCAATACATTAAGTAATTATTGTTCTTCTTGGGAATTACAAGTCAATACAGAGAAATCAAAAGTAATGGTTTTCAATTCAAATGGAAAGTCTTTTTTAAACGAATTTTATTATAATAACAAAACCTTAGAGACAGTTGGTACTTATTGTTACTTGGGTATTAATATTAGATATAATGGCAGTTTTAATGTCGCCATCACTTCGCTTATGGAAAAAGCTAGGAAAGCATATTTTAAAATAAAGAAAACAATAGGATTAGATAACCCTTGTAAACTTCTGGAAAAACTTTTTGATTCCTTAGTTTCCCATTTTCTCCTTTATTGTAGCGAAATCTGGGGAATTATTTCGACGTTTAAAGACAGTGATGCCTATGAAAAGTTGCATATAAAATTTATTAAAGAATCTTGGGAGTACACTGTAAGGCCTCGAATGATGCATGTCTTTCCGAACTTGCAAGACTGCCATTGAAAAATAGTATAATGTTATCTAGTATTAAATTCTGGGATCATTTAATCACTTCAGATGGAAGTTTAGTTCACCAAATATATAATGCTACAAAAAAAAGCAACCCATGGGTTAAAAGGTTAAATATTATTATTCAAAATTTAGGTTTATCATATTTGTCAAACTTTAACCTTACTATTAAACCCCTTTTTGGTTTTATAAAACAATGACTGATTGATCAGGGTTTTCAGGAACAACATGCAAATATTTCAGCATCCCCAAAATTAACATTTTTCCAGAGTGTTTACAAAATGAGTGAACGGGCAGGTTATGTTGATGCTTTAAGAAATAGATCAGATCGATCATCATTGTGTAAATTAAGAGTTAGTGCTCATAACCTTGCCATTGAAAGAGGAAGATATTTAAAAGTGCCCAGAGATCAAAGAATTTGTGAAATCTGTAAAAGTGGCGAAATTGAAAATGAACAGCACATGCTGCTACACTGCAGAGGTTACTCCAGTATTAGAGAGACTTTTGTATTAAAAATGTTCAAAATTACAGGAAAAAATATAACCACATTGTGCGATAAAAATAAAATAAATCTTATACAGCACTAAAACTATCTTCCTCTTTCGTAACAAATTGTTTAAATGCAAGAAGTAATCTATTGCAATAGATTTTCATTATACCTTTAATTTTTTATTCACAAATATATAATTGTTTGTATTTTTCTACCATGTAAATTGTATATCCATTCGGTCATTACCATTTATTGTAAATGCGTTTTTGCCAATAAAATATTGTCTATTGTCTATTTAAATGAAATCCTTTTCTTTTAACCAATAAAAAAATCAGGTTTGTAGGAAAAATATCAAGAAAATGTTATAAACACTTATTGAAGGAAGTGTTTACATTTTCACTTCTTAAATTACTTGTTTCAGTGATTTTAAAAAGTCTGTGTTTGATTTTGTAAAAATTTTCAACTTTTCAATGCTGAAATCACTTACAAAGGTGTTTCTGACATCACTTGTATAAGCAGTACCCCTGACTATTAATTGTGTCTAAAGAATTTCAAGGATTATAAAAGTGCTTAACAGCAGAACACTCAAACCAAAATATTGGTGGAAATGTGGGAGGTCATATAATAATCCCTATACCAAGCTAAACTGTGTTTTAAAACTTGTTATGTGAGTGGACAATTAATTGTTTAAGACCTACGGTGACATTCATTAAATAATGTTGGTTTCAATTTGACCAATTGCTTTCAAAAGAAACAATTCAAAAAATTTGTTTAATTATGACCAAACAGATGACTACAGTCCCCATGCCAAGTGATGATAAAAATTTCATGC